GAACCAAGGTGCACTAGAGCCAGCTGTTTGGCAGGGGTGGGGAGGAGGACTCCGTTCCTTGATTCTCTAGTCACCAACCAGGGCTACAAATAGTTTGAAAAGTGATCTTGTAATTTATTTGATGTGCATTGGTGTTTTGCCTGCATGCATGTCTGTATAAGTGTGTCAGATCCCATGGAACTGAACTTACAGACAGTTGTGAGCCACCGCGTGGTTGCTCGGACTCGAACCCAGGTCTTCCGGAAGAGCAGCCAGTGCTGTTAACCGCTGAGCCATCTCTCAGCCCTGAAAAGTGATTGTAATAAAAAGAAACATCAGGGTTTGCATGTGGCTCTGCACAGCAACTGGACTCCACTCCCCAGAAGAGGCAAGACTGCTTGCTTCCCTGGGTGGTTTCTGCCGCTCATGAGTCCTCTTGGGGTGGGGGTAGGGCTCCCCCCTTCAAGGACAGAGGGGGCTACTGGGCTAAAGCTAAGGAAACTGGAGGAGCCAGCTCAAGGAGTGTTGTCAGTAGGATTTCTGGGGGAGACCCAACTGAGTCCCCCAGAGCCTGTTAGTGCTTTTCTGATGCGGTTTCTCCTAAGTCGGCAACAGAACAACCAATGCACAGACATCTGTCAGAGCTGTGCCTCACTCCCTTGAGATGCAGAGTCCCACCCCAAAGGGAGGTGGGTAGCTGGGGTGTGGTGGCATCTCATACATTCTTTCTCAAACAGCTTGGCCTCAGGACCCGTTTACACTTCAAAATTAACAGGGTCTTCAAAGAATACTTGCTGATACATATCTTTCCTGTGGACGCTTGCTTTCTAGAAATCACAAAGTATTTATTAGAAAATAGCTCGCTGGGTTGTAGTGGTACATGTCTGTAGTCCCAGCCAGAGGAAGGTAGATCTCTGAGTTCGAGGCCAGCCTGGTATACAGATAGGTTGGGTTACACAGAGAAACCCTGTCTTGAAGAACCATATAAAATAATAATGATAATAGAATAATTGGGACTCTTGGTGATGTAGCTCAGTTGGTAGAGGGCTTGCCAGCATGCACAAAGCCCTTGGATCTATCTGCAGAACCACACAGTCTGACATGGTTTTTACGTTCTTCCACTTCCTTTTATGACCACAGCCTGTGGCCCTTGAATTTACCTGGATACTGCAGGACCCTCCTCGCCTCTCTTGTGCTGACCCAAACCCACCACTGCTGACTTGAGGGTGCCACCCTTCCCCAAGGCCTCAGAGGCCCCCTCTTCTTTACCCCACAGCCTCATTTCCCAGTCCTCCTGGACCTCTAAGGAACCCTCATTGACCCCTGCCTCCCCTCCTTACCACTTGCTTTTTTGTTCACTGCCAAACTTGAAGAACAGAGACCTGCCACCCTGAGCCTGCTGGGCCCCCAGCCCCTTATCATCTGCTATCCTTCTCTCTTCTGACATACCAGCTGCCCATACTCCCAAGGACCATGATGGGAGATTTTTGAGTTTTGCTTACTGCTAAGTCTCTGGCTGCTAGACCAGTGCCAGGCATGACGTAGGCCCCAGTAATTGTTGGTGAAGCTGGGTATGGTGGCAGATCTCTGTGAGTTCGAGGCCAGCCTGGTCTACAAAGTGAGTCCAGGCCAGCTAAGGCTACACAGAGAAACCCTGTCTTGAAAAAAAAAAGTGTTTTCTTTTTAATTTAAAGTTTTTTTAAAATTATTTTATTTTTATTTTATGCACATTGGTGTTTTGCCTGCATGGATGTCTCTGTGAGGGTGTTGGATTCTGGAATTACAGACAGTTGTGAGCTGCCATGTGGGCTCTGGGAATTGAACCTGGGTCCTCTGGGACAGCATCCAGTGCTCTTAACCGCTGAGCCATCTCTCCAGCCCCTAATTTAAAGTTTTAAAAAATACATTTTTTAATGTACATGAGTGGTTTGCATGTACATCTGTGCACCACGTGCGTGCCTGGTGTCTGGAGAAGTTAAAAGAGGGTGTCTCTTCACCTGGGTCTGCAGCCATAGACATTGCTAGCTGCTTTGTGGGTGCTAGGGACCAAACCTGGTCCTCTGCAAGAGCAAGTGCCCTTAGATTCCTGAGCCATCTCTCCAGCCCCATTACTGTTGAAGGAGTTACTGACTTGCTTCCGCAGCATGAAGGGGCTGTGGGTGGTGTTTGCTTCTGGGCACATCTGTTGAGCACACCCATTACTGAATTAATGAATGAATCAAATGACTGAATTTGTTGCCTGAATCCAGCTGCCAGGTGAAGTTTTAAAAGCAGCTTTGTCTGGCTGTCATTGTTTGCCTCGTTTATTTTTATTTTCATTTTGTCTCTGCCTCCGCCTGTTCATCACACTTCAGCAATAACCCTTCAAGCTCTGTGGTTCTCTTTGGCATGCTCCTGCCATGTGTCTGTGTCTGCTACGCAGCATTCCGGCGATGCTTTTCTGCTGGGAAACTCCAGGGTTTTCTCTTGTGGCTTCTAAGGTACGGAGAGAAGCTGGAGGGCTCCTCTAGCCACAGTACAGGACATGGGAACAAGGTCTCCAGCTGCAGGCCGGAAGTTTACATACAGCACACAGCACGTGTCTATGAAACGAGCGCTCCTCATTGACTGCAGCTGAGTGAACATTTTAAAAGCATGTGTGGGGAGACTAATTTTGGGATTCCAGAAGCATACCCTGGCCTCAGGGGATTCCCCCTCCAAGCCAAAAGTGACTGCTCTCACAGGCTGTGACAGCTGCTGTCTAAATACAGCTGATGTTCAAAGCCCACCTCTGCTCTGGTGTCACCCTGAAATCTTCATGATGGAATCCTCCCCATCACTCTTGCTAACAGTTTGTCTCGTCTGAAGTCTGGGTGGGGTATCTGACAGCTATTCTAACTACTGTGTTTTATCATTTATTTTTAATCCTCATCAGTGTATCTGAGCTCTGTTGAGTCTAAGTTCTTGAAGGAAAAAAAATTAGTATCCTATAGTAAACAGTAAGAAGCCATTAAATCATGACAGACTAAACAGAGGAATTGGCACCTACCAGGTTGCAGATGACACATGGGCAGAACTGAGAATCTCGTCTTCCTAGGGCCATTTCTGCTTTACTCCCTGCAGTGCCCAGCAGCCGTGTCACCACATTGCTGCTCTGAAAATTTGGAAAGTCTACTGTAGGAAATGGCCAAGGATGAACGAGTCCCTACAGAACGACTGACACTGGTCACTGTTACTGGCCACACAACAGCCTCACATTGACAGGATTTTGAGGAAACAGGCTCATGAGGAGACAGGGCTACATGAGTATCCCAAAGCTTCTCAGGAGTGGATTTCAAAGCTGGCATTGAAGCCGCAATCTTCCCAACCTTGGAGCAGGTACGGTGACGTGGTCCACTGCTTCACGGGCCCGGGGACCTGGGGTGCTTCTCTGAAGTCTATCCTCTAGGCTTCTTGCTTTCCACCCGCCTCCTTTACATTTTTTGAGGTTTTTATGTGTATGAGTGTTAGCGTATGTACCATGACTCTGCAGTGCCTGCCAAGGCCAGAGAATGACATCAGATCTGAAACCCGTTACAGACGGTTGTGAGCCACCATGTATGTAGGTGGTGAAGATTGAACTGAGTCCAGTGCTCTTAACTGCTGAGCCATCTCTCCAGTCCTTCCCTGCTTCTTAACTGCCAATCCAGACCCAGGAGCTTTCAACTTCGGATTTCAGGCTCATGCCACACTTGCTTCTGGCAAAACACCTCAAGGCCTGTATCACACAGTCCATGTCAAGGACCTTGCGATTTCTTCAATACCGAAAACAAAAAAACAAATAACAAGCTGCGTAAAACTACCAGCAGCGGAGTGGATAAGAAATAGTGCAACCATCAGATGGAGTACCACAAACGACAGAAGCATACTGTGAATGCACAAGGCACATACTTCTGTGTACTTAAACACACAGGGGAAGTTATGGGAAAGCATGTACCCATTCAAGTAGTATTTCACGCTGTACAAGAAACTTTAATGGGTTACGTGAGAGGTTCAGAAGGAAAACTAATTTGAACTTTGAATTCAATAAGCATCTGTATTTTTGTTTTAAACCCCAGCACTGGCTTTTCTTTTTCCTCCCTCTTCAAAACAGGGTTTCTCTGTGTAGCTCTGGCTGTCCTGGAACTCACTCTGTAGACCAGGCTGGCTTCTCTGAGTGCTGGGACTAAAGGCATGCACACCACCACCCGGCTCAGCACTGCTTCTTATGGGGGAAAGATTAGGAGACTGAAAACAGCAGTATCTCAACAGGTGCTTAACTGGAAAGGACTGGAAGGCTGCATGAAGCAGTGAGGAGGGGCTGAGGGTGGAGTTCGGCTCGCAGAGCGCTTCCCTAGCATGTGCGAAGCTCTGGGTTCAAGTCTCAGCACAACATGAAACTGGACTCAGGCGGTACAGGTAGGAGGATCATAAGTTCATTATCCTCGGCTACTCGGCGAGTCTGGGGCTACCCTGGGCTACTTGAGAACCTGTGTGGAAAAAGTCAAACAAGGATGGCGCAATCTCTGCAAGTCTACAGTAAGGATGGCAGTGGCGGCGCAGGGGGAGGGACAGGAGGGCATCCACCCAAACTGGAAAGGCCTGGGGCTGGCTCTCGATTGCACCTCGGGAAACTGAGGCCGAAGGAACGGACCCGCAGGCGACCAGGGTGCGCCCTACGGATCCGAATCCGGAACGGATACCCATTCCGCCAGAAGCGTCGGACCCTCGGGGTCGTGGGGCTCGGAGGCGACTTCCGCTCAGCGCTGAGCGCCTGGCCGCAGCCCCGCAGCCCCGCAGCCGGCCGTCGTCTCCCTTTCGTCAGGCCTGCGGAACGGATCGGTCCTCTGGAGGGCCGGGACAGGCGCGCTTGCTCGGGACGCCGCCGGGGAGCGTGCGCATCGCGCATGCGCGAGGAGGGCGCGGTCCGCTAGGGCTGCGGCTGCGCAGAGGCGGGGTCGGGCGCCGCGCATGCGCAGTGGTGGGGCGGGGCGGGAAGAAGAGAGGCGGCGGCACCGGCGGCGGCTGCTGAGAAGGAGGAGGTGGGGGGAGCGGAGGGAGGTGTTTCTGTCAGTTCCGGCTGTTTGTTCGGGAAGTGGATCCGCCGCTGCCGGAGCAGCCGGGAGGGAGCTGCGGATCGCGAGGCCAGTACCGACCCCGCCCGCCCGCACGCGCGCGCCGCCCCCGCCCGCCATGGCCCGGGACTACGACCACCTCTTCAAGCTGCTCATTATCGGCGACAGCGGTGAGGGCCGCAGGGGCCGGAGGCGGTGCGGGCCCTGCCGGGCGCGGCCCGCGGGGGCCTCGGGGAGGGCGGGCGGGAGGCGCGGCCCGCGCGGGGCGGGAGGCGCGGAGCTCGGCGGCCGCAGGCCCCGGGGGCGCAGCGAGGGGCTCTGCGCTGCTCCTGGGCGGGTCGGGGTGCCGAGCGCGCAGGATGCGCGCCCCGGCGCTTGCTTCTACCTCACGTGTGACCTTGGTCAAGTCGCGCGATCTCTGGAGTTGACGAGACCTGGGTTCGAGTCCCGGGGCACAAGCTTTTTCACTCTGTGACCTTGGGCAAGTTGCTTCACCTTTCCGAGCCTCAATGCCTGCATCTGAGAAGTGGGGACTTGTTAAACTGAGCCGGCTAAAGTAGGGAAAGTGCTTAGCGCCTGAGCTGGCGTAAAGTAACCTCTAAGTAACTGTTAGTGTTGTCAGCTTGAGTCTCCCCATGAAGACTCAGCCCTCTGTGAAATGGGGCTATTCCCAGGACCTGCCTCTTCGGGTTGCTGTGCGTTTGGATGAGGTGCAGCAGGTACAGCCATAAGCGCATTCCTGCAGAATCGTTACAAAGTCTCTGCATGGTTCAGCTCCCTCATCTGTAGAATGGAGTTGTAGAAAACCTGCCTGACTTGGCTGTTGTTAGCAGCCAGCGAGCATGCACGTAGTGAAGGGAACAGGGCTTGGCACACAGTGGGTGCAGTGTTTGCTGTTACCTTACTGTATGCCAGAGGCAGACGCGGGGGGGGGGGCGGGGGGGGGGGGGGGGGGGGGGGGGGGAGTCTTCACCCAGTCTTTTAGGTGCTTTGTCCGAACACACACACACACACACACCTTTTGATACTGCTCCATCTCTGATTCATAGAGCAGCCTCTGGTACCCCAAGTGCTTAAAATGCATTTGTTCGGTGAATGAACACTGAGTAGCCTTAGCAGTAGCAGACTTGTTTCTGGGCAAGGATGAAGCATTTCAGAGATGTTTGGAGTATGGCAGGTGACCAGATCTGTGGGGTGACAGTGAGTTCAGGGAGGCAGGCCCCAGGATGTTTATGGGAGTGTAGCTGAGGTGCCAGGCTTAGATGATGTTTTAGGAAGGAGGCTGGGGAGCAGCTGAGTTTATAGACTTGTGTGTGGGATAGAAGGTCATGTGACTTGACACAGCCAAGTTGGTGGTAGAGCCTGTGGATTGTTAAGGAAACAGAGCACCAAGTCCCCTGAGACTCAGGATGTAGGATTGTTGGGTGGCATTGTCATAGATGGGTCATGGAAATAAGTGGGTTTTGCTCTCACGGTGAAGTTGGGTTGGGATGTGGTTGGTGGTTTGGATCTGCTGGGAGATGGCTGAAGTCTCAGTGGTTGCTGGTGTCCGGAAAAGTTAGGGCCTAACCAGTGAGGTAGAAGAGTCACTGTGGGATTGGAGTTAGGAAGGTGGAAGGCTGGCTGTGGTTGGAATGAAACAAAACCAGGCAAGCTGTGCAGATTTGAACTTGGACACAGCTGATGCCGTTCTTTGGGCCGGAGGGTTTTCTTTATTCTCTGGCCTTGGTTCAGAGTTGCTGACACTACGGTGCTCGCTCTCCTTTCAGAGCTACAACCAGCCCGCTGTGGGCAGAGGTTTATTATCCCTCCTCAAAGACCACTTGGGCCAGTGTTCATGTCCAGAACTGAAAGGCTAAACTCGGCGAGAAGCTGTAGCTGGTAGGCTTTTCTCTCTTTGAAACCCAGGAGATGGGTTTGGCCTGCTTTCTTATGGTGCACTTTGCGTGGCGTATAGATTTTTTGCTCAGAACTCAGGTGTGAGAGAGGACTCACTGGTCAGGATCTTTGTGGTCATATTTGAGTGTGAACGTTCAGGCCTGGGCTGTGGAGAAGAGGGACATTTCTCCTGGCACTGGGCTGACACGCCAAAGCTGAGCACTTAGGACACTGGGAGATGGTAGCCAGGGGAGTTGAAAAAAATCAGCTTTGCAGCTGAGCAGGGAGCCTGACATCATCCCCTGCCTGCCCTGGCCTCTTGAGTGTGTGCTTCTAAGGAATATCAAATGATTCACAGACACTTTCTCAGCTGATTCTCACACATGGCCTCTGTGGTTTGTCAAGTAAGGAAACTAAGGTTCAGAGGGGAAGCCTGACTGGCCCCAAGTCACACAACTCTCAGCAACTGGGGGTCTCTGCACCGCTCTGCCAGCGCCAAGAGCAGGTGATGCGGGGCTAGCAGTAGGCCTCAGTGGACACTGCTTTCTAAATCTAAGTTCTCCCCACTCAGCCACATTGTACACTTTGTATTCCCTGGGCTTGGGTATCATTTCTTTATACCTGAGGTTCTTTACTTTGAGGTTTCTTTTTTGTAACAATGTCCATGGATGCCAGCCACCCTCATTCTTAGAACCTGGAGGCTAGTGTGCCATCAGTTAAAATCCTTCTCCTATAAGATAAGTAGGCTGGAGCTGGGAGGTGGGCACACAGGGCAGTTTGTCTGAGGTTACATGAGAAGGTGGTCACTGAGGCAGAATTAAAGTTGATATCACTTTACTTGAATTTACAGCAGGCTGGTGCTGAAGGATTAAAAATGATGGGTCTGTAGCCTAAGAGGGAAGCAGTGGGACAAAGCTGGGGTGAAGTCCAAAGCGGCATGCAGAGGAGCAGGTAATGGCCAAGGGGCCTCGAGTGTGCTGGGGCCTGTGCCCCTTGCAGGGTAGCAGACCTTAGGGCTAGTTGGCTAGAAGGAAGTGTTGCTGTGGTGAAAGTAGGCGCCTGTGCTTCTTCTTTGGGTGCATCTGTAGGGTAGATGGCAGCCGGGATGTCTGGGAGGTGGCAGGCATGTCTTGGTTTCTGTTCCTCTCGGGAAAAGTGGAGTTGGAGGTTGGTATCAGGTCCATGGCAGCCAACCATGTTCTGAATACTGCTGAAAGCAGCCAAGGATTTCAAGTCCTTGCCGTCACTGTGGATGGCATCTCTCCCTTGTCTATGACAGATTTGGATAAATTTAATAATAATAATAATAATAATAATAATAATAATAATGAAGGCCGGATGTGAGTATCACAAACCTTGAATCCCAGCACAAGCAGGTGACACTCTGTGAGTCTGAGACCAGCTTGTAGACACATTAAGAGTGTTAGGCCAGCCAGACTTGTCTCAGGGGGACAAGGATTCTGCTGTCTCTGGCCACCAGAGTTTGGGAGCCGCTTCACTGGCAGCTGGTGATGTGCTGCAATAGCGTGGCGTTCCCTGAGACTGTTGGTTTGTGGAGGGTGTTTAGTTGGTAACTAGTAGGTGCTGGGCTCAGCTCACAGCACTGAATGAATGCATAGGAGGAGGGAGGGGAGGCCTGGGTCCTAGAGTACTTACTGCTTAGTACCAGACATGGACTTTTAGCTGAACAAGCGGGATCCAGAAGCCTCCAGGAGGAAGCAGGGGAGGCCACAGGGCCCATGGATTGTTAGTATCAGGCAGAACACCATGAGGACCAGCCTAGAACTTCGGCTCTCCTTGGCCTTAGCAGGAAGCCTCATGGCGGAACAATGAGGAAGTGGTGCTGAGCCAAGCACTGTCAGCTTGAGGCTGAGCAGCAGGTGCCCTAGATGCTTCAGCTGGGTGCTCGGGAGCAGGGCATCTTCCCTCAGACCCAGGTATAGTCAGGAGCAAGTGCTCCTGGGCATCCCTGCCGACTTGCTCACTGGAGATGGCCTGGAGAGGATGTCTGGGCTCAGGTTAGAGAAAGGCAACTGTACAGCTCGGTCTGTAGCAGTGGTTTGCAGCCTCGGTCACTTGAGGGCTGGGGTGGAGCAGTGCTATCTGTGAGGACTGGAGTCAGGCTATGGGTTTCTCTCCTGATATGCACATGTGCTTAAAATTTTATTTCAGTCCCAGGGCATTCATGGGGTCCTAAGGAACGCTTTGCTACCTTTTAGGGATGTGTATAGGAGTCCCTGGGATCGCTTTATACTGGTTTCTGTAAAAGATGCAAGAGAATGGTGGGCTAGCAGCCACTAACATGTTCTGGTTGAATGGCTTTTGGTTGGTTCTGTTTTAAGTCATGCTTCATTACTGGGATTCATTGTGTAGCAGTTCCACAGAAGTGAGCATACTAGGTCACAGGGTCTGGGGCATTTAAATTTTTCTTGGTATTGCCAAATTGCTTTTCAAAGAAACTGAAGTCATTTGCATTTCTACTAAAGGACTGAAAGTGCCCCCATCAAGGGGTACGAATATAGTTCAGTTGGTAAAGTGTTTGTCTCACACACACGAAGTCCTGGGTTTGATCCCCAACACACCTATAACCCCAGTATTTGGGAGGTGGAGGGAGAATCAGATTCAAGGTCATCCTCTGCTTATGGCCTGGGCTATGTGATACCCACCCCCTAAAAAAGTGGGGGAAGGGAAGGAAGGAGCAAGCAAACAAGCCTAGCAGGACATCAGCAGAGGTGTGCAGAGGTGCTTGAGAAGTCTGAACTTGGATCAGTGTTCTGACCTTCCTTTGAGACATCTTAGGTCAGCTACTCATTCTTTTCAGTCCTGGTTTCCTCATCTGAGGAGATACAGTTGGAATTCTGGGAGCATCAAGAGCCACCATACAGACTTGAGTGTGTGTTAAGCTTTCATTCTGAGGTTGACCTATCTAGCCACTTTTGGGTGATGGAGGCAGGAGGACAAGAGGCAAGCAGGTGCACTGGCCAACCAGAACCACTGTGTTTGGAGGTCGCAGGGAAGCCAGGTTCACAAGGCACAGCGAGGAGCTGCTGTGGCAAGTTCAGTGGTCCAAGCACTCATGGGGTGGAGGCCAAGTAAGTGTCTAGCAGAGTCCCCTGCCTCACCCACTCAGCCACACTGACTCAGCTAGGGGTAGGTGACTGACAGTCGGTTCTGGTCATGTGGGCCTCAGTTTCTTTATTTGCAGGATATCCCTGATAAAATGAAAGGCTCTTTCTAGCTTTCCATTGTTTAACCTCCGAGCTATCTCTCTAGCCCTCCAGCTTTCTTTCTTTCTTTTTTCTTTTTTCTTTCAAACTGAAGTGGCATGCTGTTTGCTGAGGGCCTTGCTGAGGACTCACTTGGACTGGTCTCACTTGGTTGACCTTCCTCTTGCTTCTTTCTGTTGTCTGGTATCTCCCTCCAGCCTGCTGGGGCAGCCCTCAGGACAGGGCCTGGGCATGAGGCCCTCTGTCATCTCCCCCAGAGGATTTGAGAGCAGCTTGTCTTACATGAGGACGAAGGAAAAGGTCGGCGATTGAGTGGAAGCGATGTTCTCGGTGTGTGGGGAGACAGGTTGGCCTTGAAGAGTTCTGGTCCCACTGGGCTTCTAAGGAAGGTCGGGCTAACAGGAGGCCCCTCTTACCTGCTCATCTCCATGCTCTCTCTCTCGCAGGTGTGGGCAAGAGCAGCTTGCTGTTACGATTTGCAGACAACACCTTCTCAGGTGAGTCCTCCCTGGGTGCTGTTGGGGTGCTTTAGTTTTCAAATCCTCTCCCCTGTTCGAGAACCCAGATGCTTCTGTCTGATGGGCTTGATTGTCATTCTGGTTGTTGGATGAGGGAAAGAGGGGTTGGTTCTGCCTGGTCCATCTGTTCACAAAAGCCTTTTGCTGTTGCTCACTTCCCTACCTAAGGTCTCTTTGTATCCACATTTAGAAATTGAAAATCTTCCTAGATAGTACATATCTAATAGGAAGATGCCCATAATGAAGAATGATAGCTGTTCCTTTGACAAGAAACATGCTTGAGCCTTCCTATCCATAGGCCACTCTCCCCAACCCTGGTTCTTTGTTACCAGATGGGGTCTCCCTGTGGATCTCTGGCTTGTTCTGGAACTTGCTATGTAGACCTTGTTGGCCTTGAACTCACAGAGATCCACCTCCTTAGTAATGGGATTAAAAACATATGCCACCATGCCCAGCCTTCCCTTGCTCTGAAATGGCTAGGAAGGTAGCTTCTGTCTGGATGGTTTCACTGACCCCACCTCAGCGCTGTGGCTTCTGGCATCACTAGATACATTGTTTCTTCTTGTACACACAGAAGTGAGGTTACTAGGTTACAGGGTCTAGGGTGTTTAAACTTTGCCTGGTACTGCCAAATTGTTTTTTTAAAAAGTCTTATTTATTTGCCTGAAGCTGAAGGCAAAGGGGACCCGCCATGGTACATGAGGGGATATACCTGTGTCGTAATTCACTGTTGCACTGCTCTGAAGAGACACCATGACCACCATAACTCTCACTACAACATTTCATTGGGGGCATAGCTCACAGTTTCAGAGGCTCAGTCCCTTGTCATCTTGGTAGGGAGATGGAACAGTACTGAGAGCTACATCCTGTTCCACAAGCAGAGAGATGAGAGGGAGCCCAAGCCTGGCATAAGCTTTAGAAACCTAAAAGCCTACCCCCAGTGACACACTTCCTTCAGTAAGGCCACACCTCCTAATCCGTTCAAACAGTCCCACTTTCTGGTGACTAGACATTCAACTATAAGCCTGTAGGGGCCATTCTTGTTCAGATCACCACATTGTATTTCATATGTGTAGGTCAGAGGAGTTGGTCCCTTCCTTCCAGCATGTGGGATTGACCTCAGGTCATCCCCCTTGGCAGCAAGTACCTTTACTCATTTGAGCCACCTCACCAGCTCCCAAATTGCTTCTCAAGGAAGCTGTGGTCATCTGCAGCCCTGCCATCTCGCTTTTCCTTTAACTGGGTATTCTGGCTGCAAGTATGTCTGTGGTTGTGACTTTCCATGTGGGTGCTGGGAATTAAATCCAGGCCCTCTTGCTGGGGTGTGGAGGAGCATCTCTGGGCTAGATAGACCCACTAGTTGCCAGCTGCACTGGGACAACCAAAATTGTCTCCAGATTACTCCATGTGTCCTCTGGGGAATAAAGCCCCCTGGCTGAGAACCACTGCTCTTCAGAATCTGGCTCTAGCTTTCTGCCTTGTGCTGTTGTTTTGCTTGCTCACATGTGAGGGGCTGCTGGCGCTAGAGGGTACCAGATGCTGGCCTGGTTTCTGGATGCTTGCTCCAGTGTAGGCCGCCATTCCTCATCACGGCTTTTGCTAAGCTTTTCTAACAACTTCCTGCTTTCATTTCTGTCTCACCTTGAACTTTGGTTTCCCCTTGTCCACACTTCACATGGTTGTCTGTGTCTATCTTTTGAAGGAGGTTCTTGGTAAGTTCGTGAGACCCATGCTTTTAGGCAGGTGTTTGTATGCCTTCACCAGAGTGGACTGCAGAAGGCAGCCGGGCTTGATCCACACCATGTCCCAAGAGCCTTTTTTGTTTTGTTTCCAGACAAGGTTTCTGTGTAGTCCTGACTGTCCTGGAACTCACTCTGAAGACCAGGCTGGTCTGGAACTCAGAGATCTACCTGCCTCCTCCCAAGTGCTGGGATTATAGGTGTGCACCACCACACCTAGCTCCTAAGAGCCATTTTGAAAGCTTCCTGTGCCCTTGGAAAACTCATTGTCCCACTGTCAGACACATAAAACAGTGCACATTCTCAGCAACAGCACAGGCCTGGAGGACTGTCCCTGACTCCTTACTCACCTTTCACCTGGGGCTTAGCCTCACACACCCCAAACTCACTGCAGATATTTTGCTGCTATGCCCCCAGGAAGGTGCAGCGTTGGATCCTATTAGTCAGTTTTGAAAGTCACCCTCCCCAAGAAAATAGAATAGAGAAACCCAAGACAGAGGCTTACTACATTCTCAAGTCAGCCTACCCGTCCCTCCCCTGCCCTTCCACCTCTACTTCCCCAATTGTTTCATATTTTAACTTCCTTCCAGTACGAATTTCTGAACTTCTTACTTTATCCTGTCTCACTTGCATTGTGGGCCTGTTAGAGCAGGTGCGCTTTCTTTGTTGAGGGCTCTGTCCTTAGGGCCCTGACTGCATGGGGCACACACGTTGGGGGGGAGGGTGACCAGGGCCCCGCCCTGAGTAATGGGCCGTGTGCACACACATTGGGGGGGGGTGACCAGGGCCCCCGCCCTGAGTAATGGGCCGCGTGCACACAGGCAGCTACATCACCACGATCGGAGTGGATTTCAAGATTCGCACCGTAGAGATCAACGGGGAGAAGGTGAAGCTGCAGATCTGGGACACAGCAGGGCAGGAGCGCTTCCGCACCATCACCTCTACGTGAGTCCCTCGACCTCCTCACCTGGGGTGTATGCATGAAGTTGAGTGACCGTGCTGAATAGAGCGCGCATGATAGACACATCACTGTATGTGGAAGTGAGGCCGAGGGGTTGCTGGCCTCAGTGGGTGGTGGCAGCGATGCGTGTCCTTCCTGAAGTTAAAGAGGAGGCCACAGTATACGGTGGCGGCTGCCAGGGCTGGGGCATGCGATGAGCTGATACAGACTGCTGTCTGGCATGCCACAGACTGCATAACCCATGCACACTGGTTTACCTGCTGGCCGCACCTTTCTCTTCAGGTGGCAGTAACAGCAGGGTTTGCCTTACGGGACTAGCGACAAGCCCTTCCCTGGTGCCCAGGAAGCCACTGACAGTTCTTGGGCGGGGGTGGGGTGGGGGGAGTCAGTTCTTTGTAGTTTCTGGTCATCCTCCCTGACTCCATCTCTGAGGAGACATGGAAGCTCACAGCTCTTTGGGTCCTTCCTCCACATTCCCAGTCTTTAGCTGGAAAATCCGGTGTCTAGCACATTGCCCTCCTTTTCAGTGCCTTTGTGGAGCTCAGCTGCTCCCAGGAAGAAACCACTCTAGCATTGAGCCCTGCAGTCTTGCTTCTTAGGTGCTCATGAAAACTGTGGAATTGAAATTTTTGTTCTGCTGTGTGTCCTTGGGCAAGCTGCCTATCTTCTGTGCTTGTGTCTCAGAGATTTCTAGTTAGGATTTGCCTCAGTGCTGAGGCTCAAGTCCAGGCCTCTTGCTCTGGGCTTTTCATGGGTCACTTCTGGCTTTCTGTGGTCTGTGCTGGCGTTACTCCATTTTAGAGATAAAGCTGCACACACACATGGGTATGTGTGTGTGAGAGATAGAGGGGGAGACAGAGAGACAGGGCCTCACTGTGTAGCCCTGGCTGCCCTCAAGCTCAAGGTATCTACCTATTTCTACTGGGACTGAAGGCATGTGTCACCTCTCACAGCTAAAGGTGCTTCTGGGAAGTGAGCTCCATGGTATAGTGCGTGTAGGGTTGACCTCTGTGGACATGTCCCAGGTCCTCCTGTGTAAACAGTTCTAAATCTCAGTGGAATATCCCCATTTTGTCAGCATGGAAGTACGGGTGACCATTCTGGGCCCTGGTCTCCTGAGGGGGTTTGTGTGGCAGGGGGAGCACAGGGCTCCTCACCTGAGAGGTGTGGGTGTGGTACTGTCTGCCCTGTGGTGGATTCTTGCGCCATGGGGCCTGGGACTCCTAGGAACAGCGTGCTGTCCTGTTTGGGGACATCAAGATTAGCCCTGCCTTGGAGTCTTAGGCTTGGCCCCCTCTGAGGCAGAAGGCACCTCAGGGGCTGTCAAGGGCACCGTGGAGAGACTCTGCACTGTGACAGTGGTTGGCGAAGAGGATCTCGAGATAGCTGCATGTTTTGGAAGTATGGCAGCTAGTGTAGGAGTGGAAGTGACTGTACCCAGTGTGTCTGTTAAAAGAGCCCTTTGCCATCTGCCAGTCAATTCTTCCTGAGGAGCCTTTCTGGCCTTCAGGTAGCCAGGAGAAGAGTGGATGAAGCCCTGCCCTGGCTTAGGAACCAGACCTGGGTGCTGAGGTTGCAGCTGGGAAGACACCTGGGTGGGAAGACAGAAGCTCCGGTGTCCTATTACCCAGAGGGCCCAGCCTAGGCTCTTTACTTCCCAATGCTCTCCTGGAGTGACAGGAGCGAGGACATTTTTTGTGTCATTCCTTGCTGTCTCCAGCAAAGGAAAGGTTAGAGGCATTCTGCTGGCAGAAATGGGTGTCTGTCCACAGAGGCCTACACCAAGCTATGCTGTGTGCTGAGCTAGTGAGTTTGCTAGGAAACCAGGGCCAGGTTGGTTCAGGGTCCAGGGTTGACATAGTGGAACTGTCAGGCTCCCTCAAAGCCAAGAAGGCTCATGGCCTTGGGACAAGTCTGTGGACAGAGCTTGGTGTTCTGGGAGGGCTCCACCATGTCTGAAGGCCAGACAAATGTTCATTTGGCACCACAGCCTGCTGGTCCACCCTTGGGGCTACCTGCCCTGCCTACCCACTCTTGGCTCTGCTGCCTTCATCTGGACCCAGAGCACGTGGAGGAACACTACTGATGATAAAGAGTACCTAGCAGTTTCTGTACTGCTCCCAGTTTTGGGGGGCCCTCTGTTAGCCCTTCTTCACAGCTGGTTTGGGGTCTGCAGGTTTATTCCCTCCTACAGCTGCTAGAAGCTGGTGTGTCCTCTGCACTCGCCCTCAGTGGCACAGTCAGCCAAGAGAAGGAAAAAAGTGTCACCAGGGGAAAGGGACACACTTTGCCATGGCTTCATGTGGGAGCAGCCTCTTGGGATGGCATTTTACTACTGAGATTTGAGAGAAAGTTTGAATGTTTAAACAGGAATGGTGATAACATGGTGTCAAATACAAAAAATTGCTGAATTCTAAAAACAAAAGGAGAACTTCAGAGAAGTTTCCAGCTCAGGGCACACTGAGTCACCTCGGCTGACTCTTAGGTCTGGTCCACCTCTCAGTCATCTGCCCCCACTGCTGCTGCCAAGGGCAGGCCTGAGAAGCCAGTGCTGCTGGAGCAGCCTGTCCTGCTGGTCAAGGCTGGGTGCAGGGCTTGGTCTGGCTCTGGTCCCCGTCCCCTTCCCCAGCCCTGCTGGGGCTAGCAGGTTCCCGGAGGCCCCTCATCCGGGCCCACAGCCCTGATGCACATCTCGGCCCTACAGGTATTACCGGGGGACCCACGGGGTCATTGTGGTTTACGACGTCACTAGTGCTGAGTCCTTTGTCAATGTCAAGCGATGGCTTCATGAAATCAACCAGAACTGTGATGATGTTTGCCGAATATTAGGTGAGCCTGGACCCCAAGGGTGGGGCGGTGGGAGAGCAGCAGCTGGCGCTTGCAGGCATTTGACTATGCTCTGTCTTAAAGTGGGCAATAAGAATGACGACCCTGAGCGGAAGGTGGTAGAGACAGAAGATGCCTACAAATTTGCTGGGCAGATGGGGATCCAACTCTTTGAGACCAGTGCCAAGGAGAATGTCAACGTGGAAGAGGTAAGCTCTGGCTGAGCCCCAGGCAGAGGGCAGGTGAGCACCCGTGGGCTCTTCTCCATCACGGTCTCCTCTCCCCGCCCCAGGCCTGTAGGTATCCCAGTGGCCAGCAGTTATTTAGTGCCCACTGTGAGCTGGCTGTTGTGCGGGCCCTTTAAGGTCTCTGCTCCTAGCTCAGCTGTCCTCCGAGGTAGGAGCCCATGTTTCTTGAAGGAAAACTGAAGTTCCTCTCACTGAATGGCCTTAGGAATCCACCGGTGAGAGGTGGTGTCAAGCCTGGATCTTTCTCACCCCAAAGCCATGCAGTTTCTGTTGCTCTCTCGAGGCCATCACTACCACCTTTCCTGCCCCTCTTGGTTGCTCGCTTTCCTGGTCTCCAGAGTGCAAGTGGGCACCTGCTGAGAGGTTCCTGGGGTTTATGGGCAGAACTTCCACCCAGGCAATCTCTTCATTTGTAGCTGCTGCAAAGCAGCAGTGATTGTGTGAGAGAGAAGCTAGAGCTTTTGCCACAAGCCCCAGTTGGCCCACTGACTGGCCCCAGAGGAGTCTAGAGGTGCCTGGGGAAGTTGGGTTCTCACTGTATTGGGAACACTGGTTCCTCAGAGCCAGGGCAGGGCCTGCCTCTTCAGAATTCATTTGTTCATCTGTACAGTGAGAGTTGTTGTTCTCCAGGTTGTGAGGACCAAGAGCTGGCTAGTGTATGCAGCATGCTTGCTCAGTGGGTGGCGATGCTGGCACAGCTCTCCTCTAGAAAGACTTGTGTGTATGCGTGCATGTGCAGAAGACGGCATTGGAAGCCATGGAGCTGGAGAGCTGCTTGTCAGGTGCCCACTTGTAATGTGGGTGCTGTGATCCCACCCCTGGTCCTCATGATGGCACAGTAAAAGCTCTTAGCACTGAGTCATCTCGTCTGGTTTTGGGGGCATTTGAGCCCATAGTTTAGCTTTTTGGTGCCTTCTGCCACCCTGCAGTTGCCTTTATCTTCTGGGGCAGAATGGACATGAGGCCTGAGTCTTGGTGGCTCCTGACACCAGTACACTGGGTAGTCAGGGAAGGGTTTAGGCAGACTGTCCGGCCTCGCTGCAGTGAAGTGGTAGCAGGTGGACAGGCAGTGGCTTCCTTCCATCTACATTTAGAGCAGCATACCTTTGTCTTGCCAGAAGGTTCTACTTGAAGGGATCTTCCTATGTATTAAAAAGGACTGGAGATGGCTCGGTGATTAAGGTTGTATTGCTGGCATGGAGCATCTGACTTCAGTTCCCATGCCAGGCAGCTCAACCACTCCAGTGCCAGGGGATCTGATGCTGGCTCCCATGGGTACCTGTACTTATGTGCACATACAGATACAGGAGGAAAAGACCAAAAGTCTTCAAGAGATTGACTTCCCCAAGACAGCTCTGGTCTTTCAACATTGCTTTTTAACCTTTAACAATGCTAGCTAGCCTAGAGCAGTGGTTCTCAACCAGTGGGTCCTGATCCCTTCCCAGGGGCTCACATAATCAGTTATTTACATTACAGCTCATAGCAGCAGCAAAATTACAGTTATGAAGCAGCAATGAAGTGATTTATGGTTGAGGTCGCCATGACATGAGGAACTATATTAAAGGGCTGCAGCCTTAGGAAGGGTGAGAGCCTCTGCTCCAGAGTCTGTGGAGAGGGCCCACAGTACACCTGTAATCCCAGCACCGGGGAGGCAGAATGAGGAGAGCTGTGAGTTTAAGGCCAGGCTGGGCTGTACAGCTGTGTTGAAACACCATGCGCACGCACACACGTGCACGCAGACAGTTCACAGAGGAATGGAAATGGCCTGGGGAGGTGGCTGTGCTACAGTGGGTGAAGTGCACTCTACTCAGCCTTGCTCTATCATCTCCAGATGTTCAACTGTATCACAGAGCTGGTTCTACGAGCAAAGAAAGACAACTTGGCGAAACAGCAGCAGCAACAACAGAACGACGTGGTGAAGCTCACGAAAAACAGTAAACGAAAGAAACGCTGCTGCTAATGCCCCGGTCCACTGCAGAGACTGCACTGCTACCCTCCCCAGCCCGAGGCCCTCGGGGGCACCTCGGGGACAGTCTCAGTTTAGTGCCGTTATTTAAAGAATTCTCTCCACGTTTTTGTATCGGGAGGCGCCATCGGCACATCCTCCCCCTTCCCCTTGAGTGCCAAGAAGGTGTTGGACGAGCCTGCCCTTCCCGACTGGTGCCCTTTTTCCTGCTGAGGCGCCTGGACCTGGTGAGGACGCTGCCAGCTGAGCGGACTGATTAACCCATTTGTACATAGTGTATATTGCATTAACCAGCTGCACACCCTCAGCCTGCTCTGGCTTTTGCCTCCTTCCTGCCAACCTGCTGCAACAGACCCTCCCAAGCCCTCCTATTCCATCTCGACGGCAGCTTCCTGAGGAGCCGGCCTCATGTCCTAGCTGAGTCTTTGGCCATCTTGGGGCCCATGGAGTGCACTCCACATGGCTCCTACCCTACAGCTGCTCCAGAAGCTGGGGAACCCGCCTCCACACTGGCCCTGCCTTCTGCTGGCCCTAGGCCTTCAGCTCCATAGAGGAAGTCAGTCCTGCCCTTTTGGCCAACAGGTTTCTCGTTCTGCCTTCTCAGATGTCTCTGCTACAAACCCAGGGAGCTGTGGCTTCTCACTTGCCCAACATGTTTCAGTTCCAGCAGAAAGGTAGGGGTTCAGAGATGGAGCTTGTAAGGGGGAGCATTATTTTAACAGACACAACAAATGAAGCCAAATCAAACGAACTAAGTTCCTCAATTATTTCCTTTGAGATCTGATTAGTTCAATAGCAAAAGTTGTAACTGTCCCACTTTGGGCTCAGTGATTTTAGAAAAGGTGTGATGGCTTCTGTTCACGGCTAGGCTTTCCCTTTCCTGGGGAAAGGAAGGGCCTTGCACCCTTGTTCCTGTGTGTGCAAGGGCCTCCCACTGGAGCTGGTCTGTAATGTAGTACTAGGCGCCTCTGGCAGCCTGGGGCTGCCGGCCTATGGGAGACACCTCCAAGCTGGGACAGGCAGCTTTGCATTACTGACAGACCGGTTTTAGTGTGAAGCGGTAGGAAGATTCCTTAGCCACTGGGAAGCAGTGGCAGTGGGGTGGGGGTAGCCAGTGACCACCCACCCACTCACCCCAGTTCCCTGGAGTAACCAGGGTAATCTGCATTTGATTACTTCCCCTTCTCCAGGACACTTGGTTCCCTTTCCCCTAAGGATCATGTAACTGGGAAGAACTGATTTGGACACCATAATGGGTTTTACTAGATTTCCTTTCCTAGCGATTTCCAGGCACAGTCCTGACTGGACAATCATCACAGAATACTGCAGATTTTCCATGTTAACACTGTGGATGGGTTTTTAATCAATAAAACTGGGGTTTTCTTCTCACCTGTCTCTCCGCTTGTCCGAACTGTGGAAAGCTGGGCTTCCGTGTCACGGGCCTGCTGTTGAGTGTCAGGCTGGGTTTGGGGGCTGTGGAGGACACTTGAGGGCCAAGCAGCAGGCGGCTCCCTGGGACCCAGGTGAGCCAGCCAGGAGTTGAGGGCCTGCTGTTCTGGCAGAAGGGGTCACGCGTGCTTCTGAGCTCCTGGGAAACCAGTGGAGGAGTGTTTGCCAGCTCAAGCAATAAGAGGGTGCATCCAGGAGCATCCAGCCCAGGTTGGATGCTGCTATGGCTTCTGGCACCTGCTGGGTAAGGCCCAGGTGCTGGGTAATTTTGGTGACAACAGTGTGCCCGTCCCGAAGAGTGTTACATGCATGAGTGGGGTGAGGGTGGGGGCTAAGGGAGGGGGGGCTCAGGGCTAAACTGGTGTCCTGGTGGACCTGATGTGAAACTCCTGTCAAACAACAAACTTTTAAATAAGGTTTGCTAGGATTATTTCTGTATTGAAAGTTTCTAATTATGCTTTTTAAAAAAAAAAATACTAAAAATAAAGGTTCAAGCTGCCAAATTTCCTTCCAGGGTTTGTTTGCTCTCCTTCCCCTGTGCTCTGGGTACCTGGTTTCTTCCGCTGCAGATTCCGGTGGTCTCTGGTGCTGCGCAGGTGTCTGCGGAGGACCCTGGGCCAAGGATGTTTTCTCCATGAACGGACGGTTCGGGGTGGTGTTTCCCCTCCGGGCCCAGAGCACGTGTGGGAAGATGCCAGGGGAAGCTCCGTGTTTATTCTGCACATGCCGGAAGGGTGCAGTGGAAGCTTGTGCTTGGAATGAGTTCTCCGAGCTGGAACTAGACAAGAGGGTGTGGGGCAGAGATACTGCCACCTTCACAAGTGCCTCTTCTGGGTCCAGTACTGCCCCTCTACAGCAGCGGCCCAGTGAAGGCTTTTGACACACAGAGCATGTTCATACCAAACAACCCTCCACGTACCCAGGAACTGAGGCAGAAGTTCTGTAGAAATTTCATTTTATTCTTATTCAGACTATTTTCAAAAGAAGCAGTGATGCGCTGTTTTTCTAAAAATATGCCTTTATAGATTTATATGTGTGTATTATAAAATTCATACGTGTATTTACACAATTGCTACATACAAAATTACAGCACTGTGGTATGTACATATCTATAAGTACATTCTTTCTGCTCAGCCCTGCTGTGCTTTTCCGCAGTGAGGGCAGGAGGCTCAGTGAGTGGTACGCAGCCGCAGGCCTGCAGGCCGGGCCCGCACAGCCTGAGCTGGGGCCTCAGCAGAGGTGGGGTGGCTACTGCAGAAGGAGCAGAAGCAGCAGGCTGCAGACCGTGGCCCTTGGAGGCCTGGTGGGCACTATGTGGAGGCTCCCAGCAGCCTTACCCCATCCACCTGTGGCACCCATGCTGCCTTCAGTGCAAGGCTGGTTAAACCAGGCCCCTCGGAGGCCGTTCTCTGGCCTGCACGTGCTCGGCTTGGCCAAGAGGTTGTATTTGAGGTGGAGGGGGCTGTGGAAGACAAGGGCCCTCCCAGCCCTACCCCGTGGTGGTGGTGGTGGGTGGTGGGAGTCTGGAAGGCTACAGCCTAAAGAGGGCTAATGGAAATGCTGCCTGGCCCAGGCCTCCCTAGGGGTAAGGACTGCACTGGAGGAAGCTGAGTGGTGGCAGCCAGAAGACAGGACCTTCCCTGGGGTACAGGATGGCCTCAGCAGAGTTTGGGTACACCCAGTTCTTAGGCCCCACAGCCACAGGCTAGGCCTCCTGTGTTACAGGGGCTCCAGCAGAGGTGCATGCACGTGGGTGAGGGCTGTGCCTCCCCTCACTCCAGGCCAGTGGCTGGGGTGGAGTGGAGGCTCAGGCCTCCTGAGACATGCACAGGAGGGCCTCACTCTCTGCTCCCCATGTTCAAAATCCAAGGAGACAGCAGAGCCTTTAGGGTGGGCTGTGATCAGCTGGGTCTGAATGGCAGAGCCCATCGGTGGGCTGCATGGGAAGAGACTGAGCCTGACCACTAACAGGATCCTGGGGAAGCCCAGGCTGAGGCTTGGCTTGGGCAGTGGGGACAGGGGTTCATTCCTGTCGCTTGGTGGGGAGCAGCCTTCAGAGGACAAGCCAGGCCACCTATCTCTCAGTCTCCATTACATTGACAAAAGAGAGTGAGCTTTCCGGAACCAACTGGGTCCCAGGGCAGGCGGGCAGGCAGTGTAGCTGCCCAGCCACAGCTGAGGGGAGACCCTTTTCAACTGCCGCTAGTCCCCCATCCTCAATGGCCTGACTCCTCCACACTTAAATTTTCCTGAAGAAGGAGAAGAGCCGTTTGCCATCCATGGTGCTGTGTTCCTGGCCCCGCCCTTCGCCGTGGCCCCTAGAGAAGGCAGCAGCAGGCCGGCTCTGTTCCTTCAGGTGCGTGTCCATCAGCTGCCTGTCAATGACTCTGTGCATGTCATCCTGCAGAGAGGGAGAGGGGATGGGGATAAGCAGCTGCTCTTAATCTGGCCCTGGGGTGGGGCAGGGAGGTGACAAATGTGGGCAGAAGGTGAAGATGAAGTATGAAATGAGGAAGCACTGTAATTGGGGCTGGGGGACCAACAAAGTGGTGAATGTGAAAGTAGTACCATGCCAGGATACATAGGTGCCATACAGCGCTTAGTCTCAGGGCCAGTGTCCTCCCTCCTGATGATGTGTTTAGGCCTAAATAACAGAGCAGCCGCCTCTCCCACTCCCAATACTAGCTTATGAGGCTGTCTGGATACCCATGGTCTGGTTTGCCACCCCATCCTCAGCCCAGAGTGATCTTAGCTTGCCAGCTCTCTAGCCCAGTGACCTGGCCCCAAGAGGTTACTGGTGTCCTAATTTCTCCTTCAAATCATTTACAGGCTAAGCCACTATGCCCACATTCCACAGGTAGCCACTATACGCTTGGGACAGCCTTTACCCCTCTGGCCAGGCAATGCCATCTTGAAATGTGGTCTTGCTCCAAGTCAGAAGTCTATTGGCTTCTTTCTAGGGTAAGGACCTTAACCGTCTAATTAGCTGGCTGCCTAGAAAATGCACCCCACACTGTCTTACAAGAGCAGCTTTGGACAGTCCCCTCTAGTCCTGATTCTGACTAGGAAAAAGCCACCTGACAATGGGTTGTGCCAGTATCAAGTGCAAGAGGCCCTGTGTGATGACCATGGTACCCAAACACCACCACCTTCTGCCTCCTTCAGCTTTTAGCACAGTTGTGAGCTCTGTGAGTTCTGACAAAAAGCCCCGAAACAAAACTCACAGGGACTGACTCAGCTGCTGGAACCCAAGCACATGGTAGGTGAGAGCAGGCTGAGGTGGGCTCCCAGCAGCAGGTAGAGATGGGCTCTGTGGCTCTGAGTAGTCACTGAAGAAAAGAGGGGGAAACCCGGAGAGCCTGGCTCTGCTCCTGACCAGCTTGTCTGTCACCTCTGCTTCACTTATGTTCTGACCTGTGGGTATCACTTGAATATCTTTGAAGGTTTCAGAATGAAACCAAAGCAGGTTCTTTCCCATCACCAGGTGGTAGGGAGTCCACAGCTTGCACCCCTATTCTCTCCTTCCATCCTCACCATCCTCCTCACATTCAACTTCCCAGCTCTCCTCCCCCTCTTTATCCTTTCCCTGCCAGCTCCATTTTCCATTTGCCTCTTAGATTAGACCCTGTCATTTTGCCAACACATGGCTCCTGCTTCCAAAGCCCCAATGTAGAATCTCAGCACAGTATTCTCCAACCTATTTAGGCAAGCTCAATAAAAGGGAAAAGTCAGTGATCCTTAGGAAAAAGTCCTTTCAACACTGTCGTGTTTTCTAGGGCAGTCACTTCAAACTGCACTTTTATATTTTAAATAACCAAGTTCAAGAAGGGAATTCTATTAAACACACCTCCTTGGAACTTCACATACAGGCGCAGGACCTGGTCATGTGTTAAAACCCATCTCTAATGAAGCGGCATCGGCCTGCCACTGTTGCCAAACTCATGGCAGTGATGGAAAGAAGGAGGCTGGGGCTTGATGGCACATCACACTGCACAGAGATGAGGCTGGGCTCCAGCACACAGGACATGGTGGGCTGCGGGAATGTGGCAGATGCAGGACAGATGGCAGAGAAAAACAGATGAATGGACACGAGGCTCAATCTCACCTCAAAGGCAGGAGGGGTGTACAACTAAAGCTGTTGGTACAGGAACTGAGAAAGGCCACTAGATCAGAAACCAAAGGAGCCAGATAGTAAAAAGCCCTGAGGAAGCAAACTGTAGTTGGGAGAGAAGAGAGAACAGCTTTGGTAAGCCAGGGTTCTGGCTAGCTGGCTGATGGTCGGAGCCAGGGAGCCAGTGACCTGATGGTATAGCCAGGACTGTGGTTGCCAGACCCACAGGGCCATAGCGTAATGGCCACTGCTATTCTGTCTGCCACTGTGGGGCTCACCTCATTAAGTCACAGATGACTTTCCAAATCTAGCAGCTTAGAATTTCTTGGAGATGTTAATCACTAGACCCACATTCTGACGTCAGCCTATCCCTACCCTACCTCACCCACGAGTCACAACCCTGGGGCTGTATGGAGTCAGGAGACCCTGATATGGTGGTCCTAGAGATAGACACACTGGCTCATTTACTCCAGGACTCTGCCAGCACAGTGCCCTTGGAAAAAGAAAGCCATGGGCATCTGAGAAGGGCAGGGCAGCAACTGTGTGGGAGGACTGCTGAGCTAAACCCAGATGTGCATTTCATTCAGTCACTTGGGGGCCCCAATATTAGTTTAAAACAAACAGCATGAGCAGCTGAGGGAGGGCCCAGTCCACCCCTGGTGGCAGGACATCTGTAGCATGGGCTGCCTGGGTGACACAAGGGCACTCAAGGCATTCTTCCCTGGGGACTAGGAGCCAGGGCCTCACAGGTCTTATATGTGCTGATTCAGAGGCGCTCCTTGGCGTTCCCCCACCTCAGGCTCTTGTTTACCTGCCAAGCCTCAAGCTGCTGTGAGAGGTTCAGTTTCTGCTGAATGGCATCCAGGAGCTGGCTGTTCAGAGACATCATGTCCATCTTGCACTTGGCAAGCTCCAGCTCTACAGCGTTCTTCCTGCAAACAGGTGAGCCACGGTGAGCAGGGGCACCTGGAGTCTAAGGGTCCGAAAAGGGACACCGACACCTGAAGGTCGGCAGCGTGCTTCCTGACCGAGCTTATAAGGGACAAGCTCTCTTCCATAAATGCGAGATGGAGTGGGCAAGGAGGGCTTTTCCATGGGGACCAGAGCCCAGACAGCATCAAAGGCCTCTCAGCAAAGGAGCTGCTTGCTGATCCTGCCCACAAGGCTGAGCACGCTGCAGGGTGGAGACCTGCTGCTGCTGTGGGGGAGGCGGATACTCCTCTGGACTCCTCCTTTAGAGGAAGCCACACAATGGTGACTACAGTTTGGCAATTCCAGTATCTAATAATCGAGGAACTGTTTAAAAAATTAAAAAGGCAACACAACAATGGGCACCCAGATACACATTGTTTACTGACAATTTATCAAGATGGATCTAGGGAGGAAAAGGTCGAGCTCTGTGAAATGAAACTGCCAGTGTGTCAATACACAAGACACACCAAAATGCACTGGATTATGTCTGGTGATGTCGATGATGCTAACTCTCCCAACATGCTTTAGTATTTTCAAGCTTGCATGCTTTGGGGACTACTTTGTCCACCGTCCCAACATTATTATATTATAGCTGCTCAATGCTAAAAAACGGACCGGTTGGGGTGGGTATGAAAGAAGGGTGCAGTTAACTGAGCTGCCTCTGCAAAGGCAGCAGCCACTGCCTGAAAGCATACTGTATCAGAGCCGCAGGACTGGCCTGCAGAGGCCTCAGCGCTGGGCTCAGAACACCACACTAACCGAGCAAGCCGGAAGAAGCAGAGCTCAGACTATACTTCCTCCCTGCCTCGCCCTCCACCCAGCAATTAGTCACCTGCTCCGCACCCCAGCCTGCCCTAGACAGGCGCACCCACCCGCCCCTTTGCTGGAGAGGCAGCTCCGGACAACGTTGGGCTCACCCTGGCCCCGCCCACTGCGGCTTGCAGGTCACGGGGATAGGACTAAACCTGTCCAAGCATTCAGACGCGGCAGGTTGCTTCCGTCATGCGCACTGCCATTGGCTATCAGAGAACAGCGGAAATCCTCATGGCAGCGGTTGCCACGGACGCGATTTGCCTGACAGTTCCCAAACCAGCTGCTCTAGCCTCAGGAGGTACCGTGTGTCTGCCAGCAGATGGCGCAGCGAGCAGCCCAGAGCTACGAAATGTGCTGACTAACGCCTGGGCCAAGGGCCTGCGCAGAGTTCAGAAGGGAAAGGGGAGTCTCCAGGAGGCCAGACCCAGAAAGCATAGCCACACAAGTCTCTCATTCAAACATGAATCATATTCTTTAAAAACGGGTATTTCCAACGCCCAGAAAAATTCCTTATATAAATGAAGTCACTGGTTTTTGTTTTTTGTTTTTGTAAGGCAGGCTGTTCATTCCAGATTAATTTGTGGTATCCACATTGGTGTGGTTCAGTGGCATTTTACCTGCTGGATTAACTTATTTTTGCTTTTCAATTGTGAGGTGATAAAATTGCTAGTGGCTTATTAGGGGCCCTGCAGCCCTTTAGTGACATAAGTCTCCCTGGAACACATTAAAGTAACCAGGTAAAGAAGCAGCCTCAGCACAGCCATTCAGACTAAATTGTTCTGGGGCTGCCTTTATAATGTATGTGGGCACCGCACACAATGCCCGCTTCTTGTAAATACACACCAGGCACACACGGATAGGTGTTGAGAGCCTTCCCAAGATATACTGTACTCAACTCCGGAAAATGAACTAGAGTAATAGACAACCCAATGTGAGGTCTGATCAGAGAAAAAAGTGGATTTACCCAAAGGTAAAATGGGATGAAGATGATAAGAACAAAAAGCAGAATGGGAGGAAAGCAGGAAGGTCAGACTATGAGAACTGCTGTGCCACTCTTCTCTTGTTTAAAGGCACATGGACTCCCTTAAGAAAGGCTCTCTTCAGACTTCAGGACCGGCAGCCAAGAGGAAGGATGCCAGGACCAGAGGATGGGCAGATCTGAAGGTGGTACTAGTGAGTGCGTGCGTGCGTGCGTGCGTGTGTGTGTGTGTGTGTGTGCGCATGTGTGCGCGGCACGCGTGTCCATCCATGCTCTATAGGCAGCGAGACAGGCATCCCTCACTACATACTGGAAGCCTGCTGAGAGTGAGCACATTTTTACCTCCTTCGTAAAGGGGGAGGAATGAAGGCCTGTGACATTTTTTTTTTAGGATCAGAGGGTGTGATGGTCACACCTGTAATCCCCCCGGAACTTGAGGCTGAGGCCAGGGGATAATTTCAAGTTAGAGGCCAGCCTCAGCTGAACAGCAAAATCAGCCAAACAACTAGCAAAATAGGGACTATGGAAAAATAACCCTTTGCTTCTCTTATTTCCAAATTGTTGACTGCAAAGGAATGTATTTATACACTTCTTTTCTGTTAAAAAACAAAACAACAAAATAAAAATAATATGAGAAGATGACCTGGCTCCCTGAAAACAAATGGAAGAGTGGAAACTGATGAAATCAAACCCAGCTGAAAAAGAGCAAAACGAAGATCCGGGTTCCTCACCAAGCAAATGTTAAGAGGGAACGGAAGGGGGATATTAGAGGCTTTCAGAGCGCCAGTCCATGAGCACATGGGTTTCAGAGCCAGAGTCTAAGCAATTAAAATCACAGATATAGAGTGATTTGTGTGTGTTGGGGAGGCTGAGGACACTGGCTGTGAGGACACTGACTGTGCACTCTGCTTCCACAGTGCAGCAGTTCACGGGCAAAGCACTTGCCTGGCATAGACCAGGCCCCAGGCTTCTCCTCAGCACTAAAAATACCACAGGAAAAAAACAAACCCACCCAACCACATTACCCACCACAACACTGTGCTGGTTAGGGAAGCAAAGTACCGAATCCACAGTGGGGACAGAAGCCAGTCCCTACTGGCTTTGGTCTGAGGTTGGAGATAAAGAGCCCAGCTACATGACTCATGCTGAGGCGGATGGGTGGGTAGATGAGGGTTCCTGCTATGTTTCTTCTGTGTACCTGGGAATGTCTGTAAGGAATTTAAAAGAAAACAACTAAAAGTCACAAAAAGGGGCAGATGCACATGACAGCACTGGGAAGCTAAATTCTAAGTTGAAAACATACTAAACATTCATAGTAGCATCCAATGCTAAAGGTGGCAGAGGCAGGTAGATCGCTGTGAGTTCGAGGCCAGCCTGGTCTACAGAGTGAGTCAAGGACAGCCAAGGCTATGCAGAGAAAACCCTGTCTCCAAAAACCAAAACCACCACAACAAACCAAACCAAAAAAGCCTAATTAACTATGTAACAAATATATTACAAATATGCCAACGCACCCATAGGAAGCAAGTCCATGACAACCTGTACTGCCTGCGTCTACTAGGGACCAAGAGAAGTGGGTAGCAGGGCACGTAACCTTTATCTTTGTCTTCTGTATAATAGGAAAGAGAGAGAGAGAGAAAGTCTTGTTATCTTGTTATGTAACCTAAGCTGGCCTTGCACTTACTCTGTCGTGCAGGCTGGCTTCATATTGGAGATCCTTCTGTTTATACTTCCCGAGTTCTGGATTACAAGTGTATGACACTATGGTGGGCTTATAACAGAATTTTCATTCACCCATCCACCCACCCATCCATCCATCCATCCACCCATCCATCCATCCATCCACTCACTGAGACAGGCTCTCACTATATAGCCCTGGCTGTCCTGGACTTGCTTTGTAGACCCAGGCTGGCCTTGAACTCACAGGGAACCGCCTGGCTCTGCCCCCCGAGTGCTGGGATCAAAGGTGTGCGACACCACTGCCTGGCACTTGATTTTTGAAAATAAGCACATAGCTCAGCTTTCTTAGAAAGAAATAAAGGAGAGGCTAGAGAGGTGGTTGAGTGAGCAGCACCTGCTGCATGAGCCTGAGGACATGAGTCTGGATCCCAGCACTCACTCCAACAAGAAGCCAGATGTGGCCATGTGCGCTCCAGGGGATGGAAGCAGGAGCCACAGGGCAATGCATTCACCACACACACACACACACACACACACACACACACACACACACACACACAAGAAGTGAGTAAACCATCCGTGTCACTCACTTTGCGATGGCTTCATCCCGGTCCCTGATGGCCTTCTGAAGCTGCTCCTTTGGCTCCTTGTCCTCAGATGTCACTCTGAGTCGGTCCCTTTCTTCCTTCAGAGCAGTCATCTCCACACTCAGCAGAGTCACCTAGCATCAGAGCAAAGAAGAATGTCTGTGAGGGCACTGCTGCCGGTGGCTGGCTGCTCTCTCCTCAAGGGAAAGGTTCCTGGATGCCAGCAAGATGGCTCAGGAGGTAAAGGCACTTGCCGTGTTAAGCCTGACAACCTCAACTTGGACCCTAGAACCCAAATAAAGATGGAAGAAGAAAACTGACTCCACAAAGTTGTCCTCTGACCTCTACCTCAATTTTGAGGGGCCAGAGAAAGGGCTCAGCAGTTAAGAACACTCTGTGCTCCTTCAGAGGACCCAAGTTGGTTTTCCAGTACCCCCAGTTCACAGCCAGCTGTAATTCCTTCTGATACACACATAATTAGGAATAAAACAAACCTTTGAAAATAATAATTTTCAAAAGACATTTCCAAAGGTCCCAGGGGCATGCATGGGGAGAAGGCTGATAGAGTCCTGCTGTTGCTCTGCCCCAATGCCTTTCTGCCCTGAGCAAGGGTGCCTGTGCCTGGTTCCAGCTCAGTGGCGAGGGAGCCTGGGGGAGGCTGACCCTGATGTGTAGCCACGGATCTAGATTTCCTTGTCTTCGGTATATCAAGCCACTGCAGTGGCTGAGAAACACCCCCAGGTAGATTGTAAGAGATCACATATGTACCAGGGCTCTGAAACAGGTTTGGAGGCAGGGTCTCAAATTTTGGCACAGCTTGATCTAACCATTAATCTCCACAGATCAAAGCCACATGGGATTTCAACACCCATGTTCTATCACTTCGGTCCTTTTACCTTTTCTGTGGTCTGTGCCTCAGTGGATGGCACCTGCTCAGTCCTCGAGACCAACCTGGACTCATGTGGCAATGAAGGGCTGACAGAATGAAGCAAGACATTCTGTCCCACCCTACAGCAGTGACCTCAGTCATGTACACCAGAATCTCGGGAAGCATGTCCTCCCCACCTGAACGTCACACAGCATGGCTGCAAGTGCTACTTAATCCTCAAGCACCTGTGCACAGAACTGCTGACGTGAGGCAGCTAGTCACCAATCTAAACCTTTACTGTTTGGGGGACATTCCTGACTGTATGTCCTGCTGGGAGACTGATGATGACCTCCCACCGAAAAGCCAGGTAAGAGGAATCTCCTTCCCTTTGCAGTGTGGGCATGTGACCTAGAGCTGCCAGCTAACACCCCCCCCACACACACACACACCATAGATCTAGGAGGGGAAGCAAAGCAAAGCTGCACTTGAATAGAGACTATTTACCGGACAGCAGACTGTTTCTGCTGCTGGCTTCCCATGACTCCTCCATGTCTGGGACCTGAGTTACCCAGTTGTTCTTGCTGTTAATCCTAGAGGCTATCAGATTTAATTCCTTAAGTTACACAAAGCAAGTATCAGTTGTGTGCAATCAGTTGTGTGCAACCATTCTAATAGACCTAATAGAGATCTCAGTAAATGTGTGAAGCAATGAAGACTGGTGGGATCGGACATGGACAGGGATGCACACCCACACCCTCTCGGTATTACGCACCCACAGACACTTTTCCAAGGGAGGACCCATCCACACAGATCTGCTCCCTCTCATTAACGACAGCTGCTACTCTCACTCCAGGACTTGAAGATTAAGCTCCCAGGCAGAGCCAGCAGCTACTTAGCACGATCGGAAGACATGGAGATTTTTACGTGAGGTGGGTGCTGGCCTGCGCCTATGTCTGTGAACCAGGCATATGCCTGCTGCCCACTAAGGCCAGAAGACTGTTGGGCCCCTGGAACTGGAGTTATAGACAGTTACAAGCCACCACCAGGGTACCAAACCCGGTTCCTCTGGAAGAGCAACCAGCATTCTTAACTGCTAAGCCCTGTCTCCCAACCTCAAAATTTGCATTCTTAAGAGGCCGATAAGGAATGTGCGGGCCTGGGCCTGACATTCTGAAAGCTTCAACTTTCTCAAGGTTAACAGTTTGGTGCAGGAGAGTTCTAAGCTTTGGGAAAGAGCAGTCTGAAATTTCTGTAAAGGCTCTGCTTTGCATGTGCGTCTAGCTCCAAGGTATCGGTCAGCCTTATCCTAGGAACCAGCAGTTTTGGCAGCCTGCTTGCCTGAACCGAGACCTAGAAAGCATGTGGCAAAGACAAACTTCTTCAGATCAAAGGAGTGTAGCTTGAGGCCAGCTGAGTAAGGGGCAGACAGGTGAAACCACATGCTGGGCATGATACTGGGCAAGACCAACCAACACCTAACATGCGCCCAATAAAACTCCAGGAAATCTTTCCACTGTGACCTAGAAACCTAAGAAGCTAGAGCCCACCAGCCAGCTGTGTAGGAAGGGTTACATGAGGTTCCTATGTGATGCAGGCCCAGCGCACCGCTCTGCGGCTGAGGGCTCTTGCCGTTCTTCACTAAGGCTGGATGTGATGGCTGGCAGAAGAGCAGCTCTGTCTTGTCTGCACAGGCACGGAGCTCGCGCCCCACCATCTACCATCCACCTTCTAATAAGACAGGCGCTCTCACAATTCAACAGCATTAGAGAGCCCACCCTGAAGCCAGGCAGCTTGCTCTTTCCTTCACCCATCATTTGAGTCTGTGCTAGGAACTTGAGGAGGAAAAGCTGAGTGGTAACTTGTTCTGGTTACTATTGGGCTTGTGAGCTGCCTGATTGGAAAACAAGATAGGAATGTAGTCAGCATGAGAAGGTGGGGCCACAGGGTGCTCCCAGAAGGAGATCAAAACAGCACTAGGGAGGAAGTGAAACCTGCTCTGCTACTGAAGGTGAGCACGGTGGAGGCTGAGCAGGCAGGAGGGAGGGGCCTCCAGACAGAGGGCAGGCTGAACTGACCACATCCATAGGGGCGTGTGCACAGCTACCCTGGGATTGCTCAAGCTCACGTTTGCCAGTGCAGAGGAGGCGAGAGGGAGTTGAGACAAGGGGTTGGCAGAATGCAGAAGCACACAGTGGCCAGGACTTAGAACTTCTATGTCTTGATACGGAAGCTGCCCATGACTCACAGGAGGTACCCTGTTTTCAAGCCACATACAGAAAAACTGCCACCACGTGAAGGTGGCTGGGCTACGAAGCACAGACAAATGGCCGAGTAATATGCAAAGCTAGCTGTGAAAAAAGGTAGTTCTGAAAGGGCAGTGGTCAGGAGGATGAACACAGAGCATACCAAGGGGTATCCTGGATAGTTTCTGTCAATTATCTAGGAAGAGGGAACCTCCACTGGGTAAATGCGGTCATCAGATTGGCCTGTAGGCATGTCTATGGGGGCACTTTTCTTGATTAATGAGTGTTCATCAAGGGCCCAGTCCACTGTGAACAGTACCACTTGTGCAAGCCGTCCTGGGTTCTAGAAAGAAGCAGCCTGAGTAAGCCAGGGGGAGCACTAAGCAGCACTCCTCTGTGGCCTCTGCTTCAGGCCCTGCCTTGGCTTCCCTCAGTGATAGACTGTGACTGGGATTTGTGAGCCAAACGAGCATTCTACTATGACAACAGAAAGCCAACCGGAACAGCAAGTATTTATAAAAGCCGGGCCTGAGCACATGCCTGATCTCATGCTCCCCTGAATACCTCCCGTGAACCAGTCACAGAAAAGGCTGTCTAGTTGCTCCTAATACCCAGGCTGCTAACCTGAGCAGGGGCAGGGGAACCTCATGGATGCCTGCTTTTCTTTAAAATGTTTTAGACTTTTGTGAATGAGTGTTTTGCCTGCATGTATGTATGTATGTATGTATGTATGTGTATCATGCGTGTGCCAGGTGCCTACAGAGATCAGAACAGAGTGTCAGGTCCCTGGAACTGGAGTTATGAGAGCTGTGAGCTGCCATGAGGATGATGGAAACTGAACCTGGGTCCTCTTCAAGAGCAACAAGTCCTCTGAACTGCTGAGCCCTCTCTCCAGCTCTTGGGTGCTTGTCTACATTAATCCTGAAGACACACTCCATCTGCTGGTGACTGCTCTGTACTCACCAATGCCACAGGGGATGCTAAGAACAGAGGACACAGAGGTGGTGGGTGACAGGCAAGTCTTCATGCTGGCTACAGAAGTTGCCTCAAACAGATAATTTGCACTTTTACTTAAAAGTCTGGTTAGTTTCTGAGGCCGTAGCATGCAGCACACCCACACTGACTTCTCGTCCAGTTAAAGAACACTCCCAAGTGGGGAAGCAATGGGTATACAGGCTGGATGACTGGCTGGATGAGGCTCAACCTTTGACCTTGCTATTCCTGCAATTTCAGTCCCCAGCTAGCCTTGTCCGTGCCCTTCCACCAAAGAGCACAGTTCCAACTGCCCCCAACACTGTTGGAGACCCTAGAATGCAGGGTTCCACACAGCTACCACACGTGCTAGGGGTAGGCTCAGTGCCAGGCATACAGTGGTCACACGGCAGATGGTGAACCAACCCCGCTTGAGAATTATCAAGCCCTCAGTGTTGGCTGCTATTTTTATAGTCACCCTGGGCTCAGCCTGGACCCCAAACCCCTACCTTCAGTGTCACATGAGTGGATGCAGATGTGGCTGAGTTTTTGTTTTTTTTTTCCCCCCCTCTGAGTATTTTGGAAAAAGAGGTCCAATTCTACACGCCACATGGGATATGAGTGGGGTTTAGGGAACTCTCTGAGAGGAAGCTCACAGGAAACTGGCCTAAACCAGTTATCAACTGAACTTGTTTTTGTTTGTTTTGCTTTTTTCAAGACAGGTTTTCTCTGTTTTTCTGGCTGTCCTGTACTGACTTTGTAGACCAGGTTGGCCTTGAACTCACAAAGATCTGTCTGCATCTAGAGTGCTAAGATTAAAGGCAACCAACTGACCTCCTAAGGCAACTTACTTAGTAGAGATAGCTTCTTAAAGTTCCATACCAAACTGTGGGCAGCCTATACTAAAGCTGTAGTTCTCAATGAAATCATGGCCCCTGGGGAGTTTTTAACTCTGATAAGCAAAAAGCCAAAATAAACAAATTTTTGTTTCTGTTTGTTTTTTTGAGACAGGGTTTCTCTGGGTAGCCTTGGCTACTGGTCTCGAACTCAAAGAAATCCTCCTGCCTCTGCCTCCTCAGAGTGCTGAGATTACATGTGCCACCATGACTGGCTCCAAAGTAAAATTTTTAAAAATTTATCAAAACACAAATAAGCAAGCACTTATTTAAGTCGGGAGCACTAAAATATGCTTTGGAGGCTGAGGCACGAGGATCTATTGAGCCCAAAAGTTCAAGACTAGGAAACACAATACAGCGAGACTCCATTTCCAAACCAATCAACCAACCAATACAAATTTTAATCTAAACAACATTTTCCCCTCTTGGTTTATTTGAGACAGGTGTCTAGCCTAGGCTGTACTTAAGGTACCTAGATGTACCTAAGGGTGACCTTGAATTCCTAATCCCCCTGCCTTCACCTCCCAAGCATTCTGTCTACATACATGTGCCACCAAGCTGTGTGCCCCCAACTCCAAAGAACTTCTAAAAAATATTTTCTTTTCTTTCTTTTCCTTTTGAGAGTACTGAAGATTGAACCCAGGGCTTTGCAGTTGCTAGTCAAGTTCTCTACCACTGAGCTATATCCCTCTAGAGAGCTGGATCCACTATCTTGTATTTACTCCTCCATTTTAGAGATCTGTCCTGAAGTCTGAGTCACTCTCTGAGGGTCTTAGAGTTCATGCAGGAGCATGCCTTGGGCTACCCAAGGCCACGGCCCAGTATCTAGCTAGGAGCAATTCTCAGCTATGACTTCACAAGCTTGTGGTTTGGCCTCTCATGGGCAGGGCAGTGATGGCTGTACGTGGTGGCCTCCCTATATTTTTCCTAGAGGACAGTATAAGAGACAAGGGTTTATAAGGAAGGTTTCTTAGGTGTAAGCAATGTTTACCAAGGTGAAAGCTAGGTACATACAGAAGGGATGGGAGCTAAGTGGGACTGTTTGCACGTGCTCCCCAAGATGTCACTCCTGCACCCAATTCTGGACAAGAGGAAGCTTGTCCCAGGGGAGGTCTCAAAGCTTCTTTCTGGGTGGAACATCTCAGACCTTTAACATTTTTCAGATCAGAATATCAATGTCTGTTAGTGCCCACAGGAGAGATGGAGCCGTGATCCAACAAGAAAGGAACAGTAAGGGTGACAGTTCCCAAGTTCCCGAGAGCTGAAAACAGGCTCCTGGAGGTGATGAAGTGGACAACCTGTAAAGACCAACTGTCCTTGACAACTCCCGGCCTGTGAGCTGTGACTTTCACTGGCCAGCACCACCAGTCTGCCCAACTTCTAGCTCTGTGGACACACCACTGCAGGACACAAAGACAGAAGCAGCTATTCTTGTCTCTGCCAATCTCACAGAATGAGGACGGTTCTTTCTCTTGAAGACACCCAGTTCCTCAACTTTGGCTCGGAGTCCCCCGAGGATGTGATGAAGGAGAAAGAATGCATCTCACAAAACCGGGAGCGCGTACGGGACTTGTGCGCGCACTCTGCACTGTGAAATGGGGGTGCTCACCTGACTGTGGAGTTGCTGCAGCTCTTCTAGGCTCTGCCTCAGTTTACCCCTCTCTCCCTCCATGAGCTCCCTCAGGGCTCTTGAGTCCTCACTGGTCTGCCTTATTTGTTCTTCTAAGGACTCATCATCCATTCTCCGGGTGCCCTGACAGAGAGAGGTAAGCCAGTAGGAAGGGAAGAGTGAGCAACGGTTAGTGAGGAGAGAAATGGAGGCAGACACAATACACAGAGAGAGTAGGAAGATGATGAGGAATGAAGGAAGGTCAGAGAGGATGAGACAAGTGCGGGGAAGTAGGGGCTAGGGAGAGAGATTCCCACTTTTAATTTTACCCTATAAAGGTTCATTTGTATTTCAAGCTTTGGAGAAGCAGCTGTGTATGTGATGAATGGCACATGCCACTGACAGCTTCCTCATCCCACAATGACGTTGGCCTCCTCCCCCCATCCAACAAATCCACCCAGGCTGGTCAGACAGAAACATCGTCCATCATCTTACCGCCTCTAATGTAACAGAGATCAGTATCTACCGTGTGGGAGGGTGAAATTAGAGAGAAGTCTGGGAGAAACCTATCATGACACTGTAGAAACGTCAGTCTGCCCTGGTGCCAGAACAGTATCTCTTCCCCACATGAGGCCTTGCCTGGGATTCTCAGAGCCCTGTTTGCCTCAACCTCCTGTGCTAAGATTTTCCTGGAAAGAAGCCCTAGATTTTGTTTTGTTTTTCTCTTTCTTTTCTATTTGGTTTTCTGAGGCATAGTTTCTCTGGTTATCTCTGACTGTCGTGAAACTCCCTAGTAGAGCAGGCTGGCCTCAAACTCACAGAGATAATCCTGCCTCTGCCTCTAGAGTGCTGGGATGAAAGCCGTGAACCATCATGCCTTGCAAACCTTACTTTTTAAATTTTGCCCACTCACAGTCATCCTTCCATCAGGACCAATACAGAAGAGCAAGTTTGGAGTCTTACCTAGATACAGTTTCTCTATTCAGTGTTCCTAAGCAAAATCTTCCAACTCAAGGCCATCAGTGCCCTGTGCATAACTATATGGAGAAAAGGGCTCTGCCATGGGTACAGTGGTTCCCAACCTACGCGTCACAATCCCTTTGGCAAATCTCTAGCTCCAAAAATATTTACATTACGGTTCTTAACAGTAGTAAAATTACTGTTATTAAATAGCAACAAAATAATTTTATGGTTGGGGTCACCATACCGTGAGGAACTCTATTAATGGGTCACAGCATTAGGAGAGCTGAGAACCACTGCCATGGTATTTGTAGGAAGGGCACCAGGGAGCGCGACTTCCTGGTTCCTGGTACTCAATACTCTCAAACTCATGGCTCAGGACTCTGCAACAAGCTATGAGGGAGGCTCCAGCTCAGGCTTCCTCGGCCCTCTGCACTGAGCAGCCACCGTACACTGGCCAGACCCAGTCGCTGGCCCTCACCGTAGGCTCCATGCCATCCACAATGCTCTGGATGAGCCTCTTGAGATCGTTGAGGGCAGTGCGCAGGCTGCCAGCAGGCACGTCCTTGGCGGAGGAGGTTTCTGAGGACTCATCCATGGAGGAGTCTGTGGACACGGCTGAGTCGGCGCTGTCACTTCCTCGAAGGTGTGAGCAGAGATAGCGCACCTGGCAGTAGGCTTCCCAGAGCTGCAGTCTCAGCTGTGCCACAAAGTGTTATTGTCATTACAGACTCTACAGAGGACTTGGTTATTTAGTATCTCAACCCAAAATACAGATACCTGAAATCCTGTTTTTAGGAGCAAAGGTTTCATTTTTGTTTTTTTAAAAAATATTTTAGGAAATAATACTTAGGTTGGACCAAGTACATCTTCTTAAACTTTCAATTCTTTATTTTCCCCCGAGACAGGGTTTCTCTGTGTAGTCTTAGCTGTCCTAAAACTTGCTCTATAGATCAGGCTGGCCTCGAACTCACAGAGATCTGCCTGCTTCTACCTCTCAAGTGCTGAGATTAAACGTGTGCACCACCACCTCCAGACACAATTCTTTTTGCGATTACTATGTAACCCTGGCTGGCCGGCAACCTGCCCTGCCCCGACTGTTCTGCCTCAGTCTTCTTGTGCTCATTCATGACCAGCTATTTTCCCTATTCTCTTACCCTCTTAATTAACCAATCTACCATGTAAAGTACTTTGATATACATAATCAGCTGCACTGGTTGGAAGGAGTGAGTAGGGAAGGCACACAGAGACAAATGGCACAGGAGGGATGGACTGCAAGTGTTCAAGGGCTATGGATTACCTCAGAGGCCCGAGGGAGACTGAGCAGGACATGCGTTCTGGCTGTTCTGCTCAAGGTTTTAGTGGCTATGCCGTGAGTGGGTCACTGCTCCGGCCTGTGGTCACAGGCTCATGCAGGATCATGCCTTTTGCTGGGTGGCAGTACAGTGTTTTAGAGGAGAGAACCCCGGGGCCCCTTCTCCTGCCAGACCTGTTCTCTCTCCTGTTCCAGCTCCTCGGCCTCCATGCTCTGCTCGATCTCTGACAGCAGGGATGTGCTGGTAGCAGCAGAGCTCTGCAGGCTCCTCTCCTCTGTGAGCTCCTCCACTTTGACCTGCAGCTGCCGGTAGGACATTCGTACCTCCTGGAGCTCCAGCTGGCTTTGGTGCAGCTGTGGGGAAGAGAGCGAAGGCTGGGCAGCTTATCCCAATCACAGCAAGTGGTGCCCAGGACCTGACCCTGCTGCTAGACTTGCCACCAACTCACAGAAAAGCAGAAGCAGGAGGAACATGTATCAGCTTGTATGGGGGATACAGTCAGCAGGACCCAGCTCTGGAAACTAGACAGAACAAACAACTCCAAATCCACTCCTTCAGTAACCTCAGGGGAAAGGTTAATGGAAGAACCTAGTGATTCAAAAGACTCGAGGGGTTGGTGTGGCAGCACTCACCTCTAGTCCAAATACTTGGGAGAAGAGGCAGGAAGGTCCTGAATTCGGGACCAGCTTGGTTAAAGAGAGACACTGTCTCAACAGCAATAACAACAAAACCAAGCAAGAGTCTCAAGATATGATCAAATCAACTAAGGGCAAGAGACTTCTAGTTTGTATCTTGGTTTAAAAAAAAATTAGGCTGGGCATAGTGATGCATGCCTTTAATCCTAGCACTTGGCAGGTAGATCTCTGTGAGTTGGAGGCCAGCCTGGTCTACAAAGTGAGCTCCAGGACAGCCAGGGCTATATAATGAGACCGTGTCTTGGGTGGGGAGGGGGAAACTATGGCATTATGAAGTAATGGATAATTTAAATATTGCAGATTTGGGTATTTTTTAATTCCTTTCCTTCTCTTCTTCTGATAGAACCTCTCTATGTAATCCAGGGTGGCCTCAAAATTGGAATCTTGCTTCAACCTCTGAAATGCTAGCAACTTTGGGTTACTGTCCTTGGGAACCACCTGTTTTTTGAGGCAGGGCTCCCACTGGTTTGGGGGCTTGAGGATTAGGCTGACTAGCCAGTGAGCTCCAGAGATCTGCCTGACTCTGGCCCCCTTTGCCAGGATTTCAAGAGTGTACCATGAGGGGTAGAGCTCATGTCCTCATGCTTTAGAGTCGGGTGATGGCACAGTTGGTGCTGAGGCTTTCTAAAACCCTTCATAGTAGAACACTAATCCCCCACAGCAGATAAGGCACCACAGTCACTACAATAACAGAAAAAACATCAAACCCTGACAAGGATGTGGACAGAGTCCTCACTCCTGACGGGAGCTAGAAGCGCACACTTAGTGAAGTCCCTAGCAGTTTCCTCTTCTTAAAAAAAATTAAAATTCATCATGCATTAATTATGTGTGTGCAAGAAAATGGTCATGCACTTGCCATGACACACATGTGGGGTCAGAGCTTTTAATTGACTCACCTTACCAGCCCTCCTTAGCAGTTTTTTATATGAAGTTAAACATTAACTCTCCAGTGATTAAGCAATTCCATCCTGAAGAGTACACTCCCAGTGAAAGGAGAGGTTCAGTAGGAGATGCTGTCTCAGTCTATAAAGCTTGACCCAGTGGTTAAGAGCACTGGCTGCTCTTCCAGCAGACCCAGGGTTGACTCCCAGCACCCACATGGTGGCTCACAACTGTTTTCAGGCCTAAACCACAGAATCTGATGCCCTCTTCTGGAGCCCGAGGGTACCGTATGCACATGGTGCACAGACACACATGGAGGCACAATACCCATCCACACAAAAGTTAAAAAATAATTATTAAAAAAAAGGAGGCAGAGAGTGGGGAGGGTTCTGGATCAGCAGATGAAAGTGCGTGCCATACAAGGCTGACGGATGTTTCCCAGAACCCACAGTAGGGGGAGGAGAAACAACCTCCAGCAAGTTGTCCTTGAAGCTCTGTAGCACTCCCACATAATAAGTAAATGAAATAGGAGGGAAAGAGATTAAGGAGACTCCCAATACTGATTTAGGGCATCCACATGTGCACACATGCATCCATATGTGTCCACAAATTCACGTGCACACACATGCACTTTTTTGTTGTTGTTAAACATTTATTTTTTTATACACCATTCTACCTGCATGTGTGCTTACACACCATAAGAGAGCACCAGATCTCATGGTTGTGAGCCACCATGTGGTTGCTGGGAATTAACTCAGCACCTCTGGAAGAGCAGCCAGTGTTCGTAAACTCTGAGCCATCTCCCCAGCCCCACGTTTTCTGACTAGAGGTTAGTGAGAGTAAAGAACTTCCTGGAATTTAAGCTTATTCTTTTATAAAATGGTCTTTCTGAAGCCATCCCTGTTTCATTAAAAAGAACAAACCGCTGGGCGTGGTGGAACACACATCTATTTCCCACACTCAGGCTGGCCTTAGTTAACACAGCCAGGGCTGGGCTGGGAACACAGCGCAGTGCTGGAGTACCCCTGAATGCCAAGACCTAGGTTCCAGCCCAGCACTGAGGGGTACAGGGTGCTCTCTTCATGCTTTCCTCTAAGGAGCTATGTCTCCTGCAGCGGCAGGCGCTGTGGGGTGGGTGGCAGCAACTCAGAGCTCTGCTTCTCATACTTCAGAGACTGTAGGTGCCTGGAGCCTGACATTCAGCCCATCGCTGCCAGGAGAGGCTGGCTAGTGGCCTGAATGAGCCCTAACTAGAAAGGGCTGGAGCCCGGCTGCCCACAGGATGACAAGAACTGGCCAGCTACTCTGCCTAGTCCCTGATCAGCAACTCCTGCTGGTACAGTGGGAACTCCTCCAGCCCCAGTTTTGGAAAAACTTGGAAGGAAAGAAAAAAACAAAACAAAACAAAATAGGGTTATAGGGAATAAAGAGACATTCCTAGGAAGCATTTGGCACAGTTACAAGCAGCATATTAAGTGGCAAATTGTTTTATAATTATTCTCTAGGAAACTCCACATACATCTCAGCAGGAGAAGTTCCCACAGTTAAATACAAGTTCTCACACACTGGACACAATTAGTTCAATTAATCATGCACATTCAAAGGTATTTAATTAACTGTAACAGCAAGAGAACAAAAGGCCAGGAGGTGCCTCATTCCCTGTTCAGTGACTGATCCACCACCTGGACAGATGTGCAGAAAACCCAAATCAAACCATGGCAGAGCCTGATAACTATAGAAATCCTGTAAAGTAAGAAATAGTATCTAGATGGGAATGGTTGCACATGCCTTTAATCCCAGCACTCAGAAAACAGAGGTAGGTGGATCTCTTGAGTTCAAGGCCAGCCTACAAAACAAATTCCAGGACAGCCAGGGATACAGAGAGGAACTCTGTCTCAAAAAACCAGAAAAGAAAAAAAAAAAAAAATAGCATCTCTGTATAAGAAGACAACAATGTATTTCTATGAGTGGAGAAGGGATGAGATGAACAGTGTGGCACTGTACTAAGGAGGACATTCTCCCCTCCTGACACAGAGGGGCTAAGATGGTTGGGGGTACAAGGTTGGCTTCACTGCACATCATCAGTCAGAATCAGAGCAAAGTCTTCTCCCCAAGACAGTGAGTGGGGGCCTGCTAAGTGCCCCTTAAAAGGACAACTACTTTCTTCACTGAGGATCAGAGCAAAGTATTTTACTCCATTTAGCAAAGCCAAGATTGGCCACACGTGCCTGAAGCTTCAGCACCCGAGAGGCAAACACAGGAGGACTAACGAGAGCCAAGGCCAGCTCTGCCTACCTATCAAGTTCCAGGCCAGCCAGGCCTAACATCAGACCCGCCTCAAAACCAAAACAAACAAAAAAGTTTAGCAAAATGTTTGCTATGAAGTGAGTATACCCTGAGTTTTAATCCCTATTATAAGGCCTTAAAACAAAAACAAAAACTCACAGCTCAATTTGATCAGAGGCTTAAAAGTCTGTTTTGGGGTGGGAGAAATGGCTCAGTAGGCAAAGGCTCTCACCACCAAGCCTGATGACCTGTGTTTGATCCCAGAGATCCAAGGTAAGAACTGACTCAGAAAACTTCTTCTCTGACCTCCAGATGTGCACTGTGGCATGTGCACCTACACAACACACACACATGCACACACACCTCCACATGGGCACTGTGGCATGTGAACCTACACAACACACACACACAAATAAATGTAAAAAAGGTTTCTACAGCAGGACCCAGCCACAGAGTGAAGCAGATCAAAGGGGCCCCCCTGCTGATGAAGGCCTTTGCCTTTACTGCTTGGCCTCCTACCCCTCCCTTCTCTGAGGATTTCAAATCCAGGGATTAAACACATTCCAAGGCCACTGACTCAACACCTTACAGATCTGGGTTAGGACTGTGCAAGCACGATTTGGGGCAGCTGGATTTTTTTTTCCTCTGTCAGCTGAGGCCATTTTAGTGACAGGCTTTCTGGAGGACACTAGTAAGTAATGACAACTTAAAGAGATTTTACATAAACAGAGGCACAGACAGGAACACTTACACAGGTAGGAGGATCATATACAATATGACCCTCCAGAATGGTAGGAGTGTCCTGACCTGCAGGGGCCCTGTATGAGTGTGACCCTTTCTAACTCCTGAGTGCCAGCTGGCAGGCGTGACCTCAGGTTCCTGATGCTACATTACACGCAGTCCGCCTTCACCAGGTAGCACCTGATGGTCCACACTGGTCCTGGCTTTGCCTCCATTTCCAGGTCCCTGGTTAGCCAGTGGAAATAATTTTCATTTGCAAATTCACGACAGGCTGAGAGTTTCTTTTTGGCAAGGGCTATTTCTTTTCCTTTTCTCTCTGCATCCTACCTCAGTTAGACAGGATGCTCCATGGGGATCCAAGAGCTGGTCTAATGTGGACTTACAAGTGCAAATGAGCAACAGGCAAACCAGCTGCAGTGGAGTGTGGGAGGTTTCTAGCCTCCACTCTGTCAAGGACTTGGTATTTGACTTTGGATAGGTGGTCTGTTTCTCCATTTACAGGGAAGTGACCTGTAACACACTCACCATTATCGACTTGAAAGATGAACAAATTCCTCTCCATCTCAAAACCTGAAGTGAGGCTTTAGAACCAGCATCATTTTCTCTGCCCATGACCCCCCCCCCCCCCCCCCCCGCCTTTTCTGTGGTCCTGCAGATAGAAACTAGGGTCTATGCTTGCTGGCCAACCCCCTACTATAGAGTTACAGCCCAGGCCCATTTTCTAGACAGCCCTACTATATGGAAAGTTATTAGCTGAAAAAACAAAAACCACAGAGGGGGAAAAAAAACCTGCTAAATGTCCCTCAAAGAAGCAAACTGCTTTGGTGGCAGCTGTTTAGGATGGTGCTGTTTGTTATTGGACTTCAGACTCAGAAGGTTTTCCTTTTATTGTTTGAGACAACTTCTATACAGCCTAGCATGGCCTGCACTTGCTATATAGCCCAGGCTAACTCTGAACTTCAATTCCTCCTGACTCAGCCCTCCAAGTGCCAGGATCACAGGAATGTACCACCATGCTCACCTTCAGTTAAAATGTTATCCCATATCAGAACTTCCAACAGCTTCTCTCTGAATCCAGTGGGGCCTCTGTGGCCTGGTCTTTCGGTAGAGACTCACCTGGTATTCAAGTATTACCTGCCCAACTGCTGCTTCCCCACAAATGACACCAACACAACCCACTGTACTCTCCCACCACACTCAGAGGGAAATAATGTTCTCTACTCTCTAGAACCAGGCCAGCCCAGCAAAGCACCCGGGGAACAGATGATATCCCCTATTTCTAGGGGAGACCTGGAGATTATTTTTCTGTTTTGGAGGTTATTTCTTTCAAGTATGAGCTTGGATTTTCAGCTGAGGCCTAGCAGTGGTTTCCAAATAAGGGCAAACATAATTAAGAAGCAGTTTGCCTTAAGGTGGTTAGAAAATACCAGTTAGGTTCACAAAGGAGCCTAACAACAGGCTGTTTCCTGACAACAAGCAGAAGCTGAGTATGCTTGCTGGGTTCTGTGGGAAGGCTCTTGGTTTCTGCTCTGTGCCAGCCAACTAAATCCTTGTGCTGGGTGGCAGCAGCAGCAGCAGCAGAGAGCACTGAAAGCTGAGAACAGAGATCCACGGGCTCCCTTTGAAGTCTTCCAGCAGATTTCACAAATGCTAGGTAGGAGGTCAGGAGTCTGAATGCTCCAGCATCAATAGCCCAGAAAGAGCTGTGTGACACTGCTCCAGGGACCAGTGGCTCATAACACACAAAAGGGGTGATCTGAGGACAACGTACTTACCTGCCTATAGGCATGGTAGGGTTCCCTAGGTAACTACAAGACCCATGTGGAGATCTCAGGGTCACCTACTTGGCCACCAGCAGTGGTGCTGGCCTCACGGCCCTTCCTTTGTGGCTAAGCACTCCCACTGTCTGGCCCCAGCTCTATGCAATGGCATCCCTGCACAGTACCTGCAGGTCTTTGTCATGGCCCTGCCTTTCTAGGATCAGCACCCGGTCCTGGAGCTCCTCCACAGTCCCTTGAAGAAGGTCATTCTCCTCTAATGTGGCGCTGAGCCGGTGCTCCAGCTCCCGCTTCCGATCTGACAGCATCTTGATCTGAAAAGACGGAGAAGCACAGGATGGTGTGGAGTTCTATCTGGCTGATCGTGGGAGGAGGGACTAGCCCCAAATGTGAAGGTTACGTGTCTCTGGGTATGGTGTCCAGAAACTTGGGGCTCATCTTGGAGAACAGAGCTGTGTAACCCTGAGCTGAAGCTAAATGCCCTCCCTTTAGTAAGATGTTCGGGAAGGGGTAGGCGTTCCACCCAGCAGGAAGCCAGAATGTGGGCTGCCAGGCGGAGGAAGGAATAGTTGGTGCTCTGTAAATTCCAGAGATAAGTCAGAGAAGGCCCCACCTTGCCTGTGCTCTGCCAGGCCTGGAGAGCAGCACCTGATCTGCCAACTCAAGTCACAAGCACCAGGAAGTTTCCTAACGATTCCTGTGTTCTTGAAAGCAGGCACTCTGCCTCCTCTCCCCACTGCTGATTGCCCTGGTGCTACCGTCCCAGCTCAGACCCAGAGCCCTGGCTAATGAGATGCTAGCAGGGTACAGAAGGTAGAGTGTCTACATCAGCCCTGGACAGAATGAGGCAGTGGCCTCACGGTTAACTTGTAGTCTGTGGGAAAAGGCAACCTTCACCCTATAAAAAAGGCTAAACTTTTTGCACATTTAAGTCGGTGTCAAGACACATGTACAGTCTGTCCGCTCTCTTCAGTGTCAAGGGGCAAAGCTGAGGAAAGAGATGTCCAATGTTTTCTGGTTTCCAGGTTTGCAGGGAGGAAGCTCAGTCAATGCTTAAGGCCAGAAATGCCTTATCCAGGGCACCACAATGCCCAGGGGCTCCAGAAAGCTCTCCCAAGTAGTCCTGGCTTTGAGGGAAGGGGTGGGGGCGGGGCGACTCCGGAGTCCTAAAGATCCTTGCTCCTCCCATCTATTATTTCCCCTGCCATAATGGTTTCTCATCCACCTGCATGCTTGTAAATACTCTCCTGCCATGGTCAAGATGTTCCCCTTCTCTGCAGTCTAGCCTGGGGAAAGTCTGAAGGCTCTTCCTTGAGTAAGTTCTGGGGACCAAGCTCAGGACTTTCCTAGGGGAGAACTAAGTAAGTGCCTGTCTTGTTCCAGGTCTTCTGGGCTTCACCTTGCCCTTTGCCTCCTGGCTGCTCCCACTCTGCATTAGAGTTTTGCTCAGGGCACAGGTCCTCCCTGGCCACCAATCAATCAGATAGGATGCTATCCTGGGGAAGTGAGGCATATGGCCTTTGTCCAAGAGATCAGGTGTCTGTCCAAACAAAGAAATATTGTCTCCCAAGTGTGCACCCGGGTAAGAGACCAAAAGGAGCAGGCCCCTTTGCTGAATGGGCCCACTATTCCTCTCTCTGAAGTAGACTTACCCATGCAGAGGGGATTTTCACTCTAGTTCTTTTTCATTTAAGTGCCCTCTGACCTTTCAATTCTCCTTCCCATGGATCATCTTTGTTTCCCAGGTTTCCAGTGAAGTAATGAGGTAACATGATTCTGATTCATAACTGGCTCTTGAGAAACACTTAAATTTCCAGGTTTTATGAAGTTACTTATTTAAAATGAATGATTTCACAGCTTTGCCCTTCAAACAGCAGATGAAGGCCAGGGTTTGGCATTAGGCTGCCAACTTCTTCACTCGATCCCTATCCACCCTAAAACTTGTGACCAAATCTGGCAAACATTCCTGGGAAACTTGTTCCTGAGGGGCTAGAGAAAGTGAAAAGGTGGAGCAAAGAGGAAGGCAGGCAACTTGAAGGAGTGAGCGCCTGGCAGGGCAGTTGAATGGCAAGTCATGCACACAAATGGTCACAGACAGGCATGCTAAGCCCCACTGGAGCATCTCTACTTACTTCAAGAACCTGCTGCTCAATATCGGTAGGAATTCCAAGGGAAAGGAGGAAAGAAGGGAGTTGGAGGCAGAAAAGAGAAGATATTGACAGACTTTAGGAAAAACATCCTCAGGTCACTTATGACTCGGGGAAGGTTTCTCGGGGCTGACCACAACGGCTGATCCCTTCATCACAGAAGAGGGGGTTCCTTCTCTGTCTCTACATTGTTTCTCATAGTCTGACTAGCCCAGAGGGGGATGAAGGCCCTTAGAGTGGATCAGATGGGAGTCTGCCCTCGGGGGAGCCCCCTTTCTGCTGGTGTGACTCTTGCTCTGTCTGCAGTATCCACACTGCTCACAGAACTATTCCCCAAGCACCACACTCTTCCTGCCCTGGTCTAGTTCAGGTCCTTGATGCCACGGTCTGGCGTCACATGTTATAGCACCATCATGTTTCAGGTATCACATGAGATATTCTCATTATTAATTCTAACCAGCATCTGCTGATATCCGTTTCTATAAAACACAAGTTTCTGTTCTACTCTGTGGGGCTTTTGGTGGGTTAATAATGACAGTATTTTGTATGATACCAGAAACATGGTGGTGAACTGAGCTAGACCTACAAGGCATAAAGAAGAAGATAATGTTTTCCCCCAGTTTCTGTGTGGGGCTAAGCAAGGCTGTTTCTTGTAGAGATTATTCAGAAAAAAAAAAAAAAAATAGGTCATTCATGAATTCAAGTCCCTCAGCTGTAACTCTCAACATCTTTATTTTTCCAGCAACAGGCAACCCAAAGGAGCAAGGATCAAGTGTTCCCCATTTAAGTTCTCACAGAAATGTCTCTCTTTAGATACTTCAGGCCTTTAGAGCAGGGGTTGACATCCAAGCTCGGAGGGCTCTTTATCCACAAACCCAGTGCATAGTGTCAGGTGTGGCTACACAGAAGCCTCACCTCAGCCTGAAGGCTCTCCAGCCGGATGATGTGCTGGTTGGTGGATGAGTTTTTCTCCCGGAAGTCTTCTCGGAGTGCGTGGACCTGCATGGAGAGCTGTCTTTCAACTTCGGATGCCTGCAAGAGATGTGTTCAGAGTGAATCAAAGGGAGTGTGCACAGGAAGTCTGTTGTGATTCTCAAGTGCCTCTTTTCACATCTGTCCCACAGAACTTTACAGTGCGTGTTGGTTTCCAGTTCACCATAAATGACTGTCTTGGTCTGGGGCTACTTTACGGACCAGAGGAAACAGGTCCAGGAAAAAGTCAGCCATTAAATGCCAGTTATTATCATTATCATTCTACACACACGAGAAGCTCAGCAAACATCTACTAAATTAAGAAAGTCTCAGTATTTTACAATAGTAAAATGGCTATCCTACCTTCTGCCTGTCATTTTATTTGTTTTGAGATTGGTTTCACTTTGTAGCCCAGGCTGGGCTGAACTTGCCACAATCCTCTTGCCTCAACTCTTAACTGCTGGGGTTATAGGTATGAGCTACCAAACCCTGCCACATCAGGAATTCCTTCATCACTCTCCTCCATTTCTTCTGCTATCATTAAAGAGATTATTTACCTTTGTCTATTTTGTATCACTTCTTCAACATGAACACTATTTAGAATTTGTTATCATGTATATTATGGCTTTGAACATTACTTCTTAAGGACATTGTAGCCATTTACAATTCTGTAGGTACTCCTTGGGGCTGAGGTCCTCTTTTCTACCCTATTGATTTTCTAGTGTTACAAAAGGTCATTTGAAACAAAGTCTACTTGGTTATGCATGAACTCTAGCCCTCTCATGAGAGCCTGGTGCCACCATGGAAAGCCCAATACAGTGCCCTGTAGAGAGGAGAGCTACAGAGCAGAACAAGAGCACTTCTGTGATCTCTGAAGCCACCGTAGCTGAGGACTCATGGTTTCTTGGGAGCGATAAAGATGCACTGGAATAATTAGGACTTACTTTCAGAGAAGGTGGGATGGTGATATGCTTGAGATGTCTGGCTAGTTATTCAGTGAGGCTATCTCCATAAAGAGCTTATCTTCAACAGCTCTACTCAATTCAAGAAGTATGTGATCAATTGTCTATCTTTGTTACTGTTTTTGGCCAAATTCACTATGTATTGCCTCACTGGACTAGAGAGCCACATAGAAATCTTAACCTATTTCTGTTAAAAAAAAAAAAAAAAAAAAAAGAATTCTTTTGAGCCAGGCTGACCTCTATCTTACAACCCTCTTCTTGAGTGCTGGGATTACAGGTGTGTGACTGCCTGGCTCTATACTTTTACCTTTTAAATAATGAATCACAAAACACAAAACAGTATCAATCTAAACCACACATCATCCAAACCATACATCTTCTCCTTTGTAATTTAAGTTTAGTTTTACTTACTGCTAGCTTATTTTAGATTTCTCAATCACTGTAAAACACGTAGCCATCACTTTTACCTGAAAATCACAATAGCAACATTTGCCAAGTGCTTACTCTAGCAAGGACTGAGGCAGTACCTCTCCCTGTGTGCTTCAGTTTCCTGAGGAGGAATGCATGGAGGGAATAAAGTAAAGAAGCCTGACCCAGGCACTCAGAACATCATGGATGTTACAGAGCCTTGACATGTATTGTGGTGCTCTGAATGAGAATGGCCTCCATAGGTCATTTCATGTATTTGAATGTTTGGCCCCCAGTTTGTGGAACTGTTTGGGAAGGATCAGTAGGTATGGTCTTGTTGGAGGAGGTGTGGCATGAGGTGTAGGGTTTGAAGTTTCAAAAGCCCTCACCAGGTCCAGATCCCCTCTCTCTGCCTTGTATTTGTGGGTCAGGCCTAAACTCTCAGCACCAAACCTGCCTGCCTACTTGCCTGCTGCTGTGCCCCTGCCATGACCTCTTACTCTCTGGAACTGTGAGCCCCAAATTAAATGTTTTCTTTTTATAAGTTGTCTTGTGTTCTTTAGATCAGAACAAGCAAGGATGTTCACCTCCACCACTCTTAAAGTATTAGATATGTTAGCCAGAGTAACAAGAAAAACAATATGCAGCAAATAAGAAGAGGTCAACTTATGTCTGTTTTCAGAAAGAGATTGTCATACACAGAAAAACCTAAAGACTTCACCAAATTACTCTTAGTACTATTAAATTCAGTAAGCTTATAGGATACAAAATCAATATATAAAAATCAAGTTTTTAATAAAACACTAATGAAATTTCTGAGAAAGAAATTAAGCAATCCTGCTCACAACATAATGAAAAAAAGTACCTAGGAGTAAATTTAAACAATGAAGTAGATGATCTCCAAAACGAAAATTATAAAATACTGATAAAAGAACTAAAAAAGATACACACACACACACACACACACACACGTACACATACATACAAGCACACACACGTGCACACACACCAAGTTCATGGGTGGATTGGATGAATACTGTTAGGATGTTTATACTACTCAAAGTAATCTACTGATTCAATGTAATTTGTACCAAAATACCATGGCATTTTTTCATTAAAAAAACTCCTAAAATTTGTATGACATCCCAAAAGATTTATGGAACCAGTAATCCTGGGGGCACAGATTACAATGCTGGAGACAATATAGTAAGTACTGGACTTTAAAACATACCCAGAGGGCATGGGCTGCCTTCTTATGCCCAGACTGGCAGAAGAAAAGTCACATGGGCCAAAGGGAAAAAAAAATACAGAAAAGAATACAGAATCATTTTGACAAAGAAAAAAACAATATAAACTGGAGAAAAAAAAGCTAAAAAAAAAAAAACAAAAAACTGGACAGGTATATGTACAGCACAGAAACTAGAGCTTTATCTCCCACACATAAAAACTAATTCAAACAGATCAAAGGTTTAGGTGTAAAATCTCAAAGTTAAAACAATTTCAAGTTCTTAGTCTGCAAAGATTTCTTTTTTAAAAAATATGATCCCCAAAGCACAGGCAATAAAAGCACAAAATAAAAAATGGGATCATATCAACCAAAGCAAGCTTTTACACAACAAAGGTAATAATCAGGAGTGGAAAGACAATCTACAGAATGGGAAGAAATATCTGCAAACTGTTAATCTGAGAAGAGATTAATATCCAGAATATAGAAGGAATTCAAACAACTCAGCATAAAGAATGATTTTGAAAATGGCAGCTGACACAATTCTCAACAGAAGGCATAGAAATGTCAAATAAGCACACGAAAAAATGGTCAGTGTCACTAATCATACTAGGGACATGAAAACCAAAACCATGCGCTAATGACACAACCTTGGTTAGAATGGCTGTCGTCAAAAAGAAAAAAAGGTACCCCATATGTACCCCCTGTCATCTGCACACACACACAGGCTGGCCTCCTCTAACCTGAACTGGCTGTGCTTGGTAAGCCCCTCCTCCCCACACCCATCCACTGCAGCTGCCATCTCCACACCCACAGGCCTGGCTCCAGCCTACAGCTTTGCCTGGCTCAGGTCCAACCAAGCAGTTCACAGACCAGCTTTACCTGGCCTGGCTCCAGTTGCACAGCTTCTGCATTGGGCTACTCCAAGGCAGTCTAGTATCAGACACACAGCCAAGTAACAGGGTTTCTGTGTGTAGCCTTGGCTCTCCTGGACTCGCTTTGTAGCCCAGGCTGTCCTTGAACTCATAGCAGTCCACTTGCCTCTGCCTCCCAAGTGCTGGGACTAAAGGTGTGCTCTACCATGCCTGGCTCAGGCTGATTTCTAAAAGGAAATCTCAAAAGCCAGAAGAGCCTGGAACTCCAGCTTCTGAAAGACCACCAACCTCCACTAGTACCCAGCATTATCTGCCACATTAAAGGGAGAAAGACAAACTTTCCATGACCCAACCAGCTAAGAGAACTCAGCCCAGCACACCAACACTACACAGAATATTGGAAGCAATATTTCAGACTGAAGCATGGCCAAAAAAACAAAACAAAAAAAAAAAAAAACAAAAACAAAAAAACTGTAAGAAGAAAAAATAAATGAAGCTATAACTAAAAAAACATAAAAGATACAACTAAAAACACAAAACAGAAAAAACACAACAAAATGACTGCAATTAACATCTCTCAATTATAACTTTAAATAGTAATAGCATCAATTCTCTAATCAAAACACAGAGTGGCTGAATGGAGTAACCCATGTTTCTGTTGTCTACAAGAAACTCAGCTTTAATATCAGTACTACTAAAAAGTAAAAAAAAAAAAAAAAAGTGGGGAAAAGTACTGCAATCAAATGAAAACAGGAGCAAGCAGACATCAATATCCTACAATCTGACAAAATAGACCAGAAGAAAAAAAGAGACTTCTTTCTAACGAAGTCAACAGTTAACAAGAAGACATTTGTGGTGGTTTGGATGAGAATGGTTTCTACAGGCTCATGTTTAAGTATCTGGTCTCTAGCTGAACTGTTTGGGAAGGATTAGGAGGTGTGGCCTTGTTAGAGGAGGTGAGTCACTGGGGCAGGCTTTAAGGTTTCCAAAGACTCACATCATCCCCAATGTGCCTTCTGCCCCCTGTCAGTTGGAGATGTGAACTCTCGGCTGTTCCTGCCACCACACTTTCACGCTTCCATCACGAATTCTAACCCTCTGGAACCATACACCCAATCCAACGTTTTCTTGTATAAGTTACCTTGTCATGGTTTTTTTTTTTTTTTTTTCACACCAATATGAAAAGTAACTAATACAACATTCCAATTGAGCGCTGCTACAGCCAATTTCATGAAAAGTATGCTACTGGAATTAAAGGCACAGATTGACATCAATCCATTAACAGTAGGTTATTTCAATATTCCACTTTCTCCAAAAGATAGGTCATCTGAACAAAAGTAGAGAAATGTCAAAATTAAGTGATGTTACACATGAAATGGACTTAACAGGTGTCCACAGAGTGTTTTACCCAAACACCAAAGACCAGACTTGATCAGCCTTCCAAGGAAGCTTCTCTAAAATAACAAAACAATCTCTAAGTTGGGTGGACATGGGGGCACACATCAGACTTCTATGAATTCAAGTATAGCCTGGTCTACATACCGAGTTCCAGGGCAGCCTGGGCTATGTAGAGAGACTCTTGTGTCAAAA